CTTCCGAATTATTCGACCTTTTGCCATAATATTAACCCACTATTCGGTCAAGTTGTAATATAGAACTGCTGGACATCATTAGATTGAAAATGCAGATCACAAACGTACTGTTTTATTTTAAATCTGTTGACAGTCATTCACTTCACATACTATTACCATATTTAAATTATTTTCGAAACTTTCTATTTACCATTTATAAAAACAAATTGTAATAATTATTGACTTGACTTCTAGTTTTTAGGTTTAGTATACCTCCCCGCTCCCCAATATATCTACTAAACTCGATATAAATAAAATAAAATAGGTTATTTGCTTACTTCACTCGTATTTATGAAGCTACATTCATTTGGGTCATATGGAACACTAGCGCCTTCCCAACTTCTGCCATTTCTTGTACAAATTTTGTCAATTTTTCCGTATGAGTTCGTGCTCCTTATCTAGTCTCCATGGAATGGGCGTTACACTAAAGTTTCTTTGAACGAGGCAACAAATACACCTCTAGAGCTCAACAAGCGTGGGGTGCTGATAGCATTTGAAGGAAAGGTTTTGTTTAATTTAAAAAAAGTATGAAATTATTTGAACAATTATACATAATTCATAATATCTTTTGTTAAAGGAGGAAATATTTGCTGTTATTAATTTACTTATACAATAATAATAATAATAATAATAATAATGGCATTAATGAAAATGAAAGTTTGCTTTGACAACAATAAGTTGGCTTAAAAAATGGCTTATTTCAATTTAATCTCTGCATTTAAATTAGTTGATCTACTTTATCTAAGTGAATTAATCTGCTGGCAATTACATATATCAGCATTAACAGCTAATCAACAGCACAAGTTTAGTGTAGGTGAAAGTCTTTATCTTTTATCTTATCACAAGAAAATATAAACAGAAAAAACAACATTCTCTAATTGTCATCTTCTTAATCATTTTCTTACTATATATATATATATATATATATATATATAACATTTCATAATCAAGGGTAAAGACTCGCACAATTTACCATTCATACTGTAGTCAGTTTCAAAAGTTACCGCTTAGGAAGTTAAAAGTGCTTAGTTACAGATAAACAGTGGTTAATTTCAAGAAACTGGGTACGTACGTTTGTTTGTATATGTTCAGTGACACATACTGTTATTTGTGATATGAAGATTTGAAGAGGAAGGTTAGAATTAATTAATTCTACTTGCAAATTAAGCCGTAGGTAGGTATTTTTGAAAAACTGGCTATATTGGTGATTAGGTATATAAGTAAATAAAATTTAGAATAGCATCTTTATAGAAATTCTTATTGCGTACAATAATATATTTTTTAAATCTCAATTTCGCATTGACCTTCAACTAATTGTCGTCTATATGACGATGTAAGATTGGATAAAGATAACCATCCACGTTCTAGCAACATCTCTAAATTTGACGAATAGTACGTAAGGTCAATTTTGTCTGTAAATGATTATTTGTAGTATTTTATTACCTTTTCTATTCAATTGGATATTTTTACCACACTGAAAAGAATCAATGAAGAGTTCTATAAAACTCAGTTTTGTATTCGTTCTCGAAATTTCTAATCAATCATTTTAATTCAAAGTTACCTTATCAGGTATTGTATTGAAATTGTAGACAATATTTATCTACTTCTCTCAGCGTGACATATTTCTGTTTGTAAAACCAAATTTATAAAATTAACAAAAAAGGGGTTACTTATTTCAACGGTAGAATAAATAAAAAAGTAATCCAATTTCCCTAAAATGTAGATGTTCAAGAAATCAATAACTTATCCAGTAGCCAATAGGTTTGCTGAATATTTTTCTAGACTACCTATATTTGTTTTCTGATCCTTTTTGTGCAATGAATTTTACTGATAATAGTCAAAAGTTCTAAGAAAAAATTATTTGGTTGAACTTGATTATTATTTAGAAGAAATTGTGCTACATTAAACTTTTTATGCAAATTGCTGCACCGTCATATTCACTAAATTTCAATCAGAACTTCAAATCCTGAAAGAAAAACATATTTTGACACTTATGAAGGTACTTCTCTTTCAGATTTACCGTTCTATACCTAACAATGTTCTTCACAGACAGCATTCTGTACGATTTCATAGCAATCGTCATTGCCCTACTAGCTGGATTGATAGCGTATTACAAATGGACATTTGCCTACTGGAAACAGAACGGCTTCGAAGGCCCTGAACCGTCCATACCTTTCGGCAATGTCAGCGACTTAATCCTCGGAAAAAGACACCTGGGAGAGATGTGGAAAGATGTATACTTTTACGCTAAGGAAAAGGGGCTACGTTACTCCATCGTATTCTTCTTTTGGAGTCCTTCGATCATCATCGTTGACCTGGAGTTGATTAAGAGCATTGTTCAGACGGACTTCGCGCACTTCTGGGGTCATGGTTCGTTCATGAATGAAAAAGATGATCCGCTGTCGGCGAACGTCTTCCACTTGGAAGGCCCTAGGTGGAAGTCAGTACGGGTAAAGCTCACCCCCACCTTCACTTCTGGGAAGATGAAGATGATGTTTCAGACCCTGGTGGACTGCGCCAAACCCTTGAAGGATATTTTGGACGGTTATTGCAACGAAAATAAGGAAATTGAGCTTAAGGAGTATCTGGCCCGCTTCACGACAGATGCTATAGGCAAGTACCTCTTATGTAATCTATCGTTTTTTATTTACTTGTTATTTGCTAGGTTCCTGCGCATTTGGCCTAGATTGCAACAGTTTGAAGAATCCCGATTCAGAATTTCGCAAGTACGGACTAAGAGCGGTAAAAATCGATTTGAAACATACGTTGAAAAGGATGTTACAAATTGTATTTCCACCCTCCGTGCTACGCTTCATAAAACATTGCCCAACCGACCCCCAGGTCGCGAAATTCTTCAATAAAATAGTGAGAGACACCGTCGATTACAGAGAGAAGAACAACGTTAGGAGAAAGGACTTCATGGACCTTTTGATCCAGATTAAAAATAAGAGATCCGTTGGCGATGATGACTCTGACGCTAGCAAAGAAACGTTGACGATGGACGAAATTACCGCGCAGTCCCTTATATTTTTTGTAGCCGGGTTCGAAACGTCGTCTACGACGATGCACTGCGCTGCTTACGAGCTGGCTATGAATCCAGATATCCAAGACCGTCTCAGAGAAGAAATAATTGAAGTACTAGAAAAATATAACAATGTTTTAACATACGATGCGGTGGCTGAGATGAAATATTTGGATAGAACTGTATCTGGTAAATATGGATTAGTTACTTCATTTTGACATGTCTCATTTCCTCTTTATGGAGCATTCAATTCTTGCGGCTATATCAACGAGACAAACTCACCCTATTTTTTTGTTCGATAGAGACTCTAAGGAAATATCCCGCACTTCCACTGATATTCAGAAAGTGCAGCAAAGACTATATCATTCCCGGTACGGATAAGGTCATAACAAAAGGCAGTTCTGTGATGGTGCCCGTATTAGGGGTCCACTACGATCCCGATTATTACCCGGACCTCGACAAGTTCGATCCGGATCGGTTTACCGAAGAAAATAAGGCCAAAAGACCAGGATTTACCTGGTTACCGTTTGGCGAGGGGCCTAGAATTTGCATAGGTTCGTATTTTTTCAGATGTTTACTATCTTGTGAATCAATTTTTTGTGTTTTCTAGGTATGCGATTTGGTTTGATGCAGACTAAGATTGGATTGATTACGCTTTTGCGCAATTTTAAAGTTTCTATGAACAAGGAAACAGAGACACCTCTAAAGCTGAGTAAGCATGGGGTGCTGATATCATTTGAAGGAAAGGTTCTGTTCGACCTTCAAAAAATATAAACATATTGACAATTATAATGAAAGTATATATAAGAAAGTCGTAAAAAGTTGCCAAGATTCCGTGAACAAAAAGTATCGCCGGTCTAGAAGTGTTAGATGAAGACTCGTTTCTGTTGTAAGCAATTCTTCGAACCAATAGCAAACGGTAACCGTCTTCTGTCATGACTGTGTGATTTTCATAGGGATAATTTTCTTCTTCTAGATATTTAAACTAGAATAATCGAATTTTGTACGATGTCCAAACTTTTATAAATAATGTTATTCAAGGTTCAGCAATATTTTTCTCAAAATATAATTGGCAAAAAATTTTGACTCTTGTATTTTATAGAAATATACAGGGTGTCCAGATTTTAATTTACCACATTTCGGGAATGGATAAAAAAATAAAAAATAAAATTGTTTTGAAATTTGCTCAAAAATTATTTTTTAGGAGAAAAAAGTACTGTTTCGTTTCAGTTAGGCAACTGAAGGCGTCCTTTTGACGTTTATAAAGCAACATTAAAATGACATTTTTTCGAAAAAATAAACTGAACTGAGGTACCTAAAGTACTTACAGGATTTTTAGCAGTTTCTAGGAGACCCAATCAGACTTTGTACAAGAGAGCATTGTAGAGAAAAATACTAACCGCAACAGATACATGTCGATAATATTTAAAACGAAAGAAGTTAACCCACATAATAGACTACTAGTGAGTTTTTACCATTATCTTGATACTAGAAAAACATTTTAGTGGCATTACCTAATAGCAAGTATGTCTTTTTAAAAGCATACTTAATATATACGACAAGAAAAACATTGTTGACGTCTAATAATAATTAGTAAAGTATTCACCTTAATTTTATAGGTGACTACAAACTGTTACAGAATTTTATAAATTATTGAAGTGTTTTGTAGTGGACTGTGATGGGTATTATTAAATTCTTGGAATAGAGAAATTGAACGTATTTATTTTCTTACATTGTTGAAAAACAAAAAAAGTCAGATACATCTTACAAATTGTTGTATTCATTTAAAATCTCCATAGCTGGTAGAGTGACAAGCTGTTCTGTCAGAGTTCCCATCAGTACATCGAAATGATTTGTTACCACGGACGTGATAAGCTCGTTCCTTATGACGTTTGGCAAGGCGCTCACTAGTCTGTCAAGATCCTAAAAACATTTGTAAGCTAAAAGTATTTACATTTAATGCTAATAGTATATCATTTAGGTAACATAAAATTTAACGTTTCCACTTACAGTCACCGCGGCAAAATAATCGTATTCTCCATAGTACAAGGCTATAGGGGTAGTAACTGCCCCAAGATTGTAATCGGGAGGCGTAATTTGTCCATATTTGATTAGGTTATTTATAATTCCATAGTCGTACCTCCGAAATTCACCTAAAGGTATTAAAATTATTAATTATACTTGCAAAAAATATATTTCTAAAAGTACAATTCAAAATATAAAACGACTACATTTTGGTAACATTTGGCATAAAATTTCGATAGGTTTTAGCTTAATTTACCTGTAGCAGCATTTTGCACGAAATGTAGAAGCTGTTTAAATGCAGCCCCTGCGGGAAAATTCAGGAGGTGAGCAGATAATATAGACTAAAAAAATATATATAACAATTTTAAATGTAAGTATAAATGTATTTCCATATAGAATGAACCTTAAATGCACATGTATACATATTTTAAACAGCGGTACAATTTACTTTGCAGAAAATTTAACATAAACATGAGTGATTTTTTAATAGAAACCTTGTTGCGACTGTTGATTGATTTTTTTATATACTTCTTTAATGCCGCACGAGAATTACTAACACTTTGACCTTTACAATTCGTTTTCTAAGCAGAAAGTTAAAAAAGGTTTGAGATCCGGCGTTTTACTTGCCGTATCCAGAGAGAGTGTCGGTAAGGCCCATCCTGTATATTTCGAATATAATTTAAACATAAAGTAATGCAGACCTAGAGATACTCTTACACGTAGTGACACTTCATTTTCTACAAAATACTTACGTCATTTATTTGACCGGAAGGACCAAACGATTCGTAAATGTATTCTCTACATATCGGTAGCAGTGCCGAGTTGGGATTACATAAAACCTTTCTAGTTTCAGCGCCGACAGGACTATAAGGCAACAACTCGTTTATATGAAAGGTTTCAGCAACTGTCTGAAACATATTTTGGATTTTTAATTTACTAAGAAGATAGCGTATCTTTGATAGCAATACTTACTTGTACCAAGGGTACATTGGTTTTGAGTAAAACGAAAAGGAAGTATAGAGCATCACCGAGGTATGCGATGGGGGACAAGAAGAAGGCCACCTTAATCTTGTCATTATACTCGGGTATGGTACTTGTAAGGGCAAGAAATGCTGTACTGCCTTGAGCGTGTCCTACGTAAGACAGTTTGGTCAGTCCAGTGACATTAAGAATGTAGTCAATTGTTGCCGGAAGATCATATAATCCAACGTCGTGAAAGCTAAAGAAAGATAAAATGTTTTTGTTAACTTCTTAGATAATATAATGGTGGCAAAAAATTATAGTACTGAAAGAAAAATAAGATTCCAAGCATTTTAGGGATTTTCTTTTCTTATCTTAATCACTACTACCACCTCCGGAAGTCCGGATGTGTATTAACATCCTGAAACAATTACCTAAAATCCCAAAAAGCATCTGCATTCAAGTCAGGATCTAAAGTGGTATGATTTCGGCTCCATCTGTTTCCTCTAGTATTCAATAAAAATATATCATACCCTGCCTCAAGAGCTTTGAATCCAAACGCTATTCCTGGACCAGTAATGAGGTAGTCGTAGAAACTGCAATCCAGGCCATGAACAAATAGTACTACTGGTCTGGAAGTGTTAGATGAAGATTCGTTCCTGTTGTAAGGAATTCGAACTAACAACAAACGGTAACCGTCTTCCGTGACGACTGTGTGGTTTTCGTAAGAATAATTTTGTTCGTCTAGATACACAAACTTAAAGGTTTAAATTTAAAAAAATGTATAACGTACAAGTTAATTAAATAAAAATAAATAAAATGTTAAAATACTTACAGGATTCTTAGCTGTGTCTAAAAGTTCAAGATCAATTTGTGATCTAGCACAAGCTAATACCATGCAGAGGAACATGAACCAATACATTTTGATAACATTTAAAAATAAAAAAGTTGGACCCCTGTTATATATAGAGCACTAGTTAATAATTTAGACATTATCTTGTAAAGCGTAATCCCGAATTTTAATTAGCAATATAAAAATTATGCCTCCAAAGATACACAAAGGAATTTTTTTTTGTGAAATAAACAGATTAGTTATTTATGATTTGAAAGCACATTGTAAATATAATTGTCAGGATAACAGCGCTATAAAATATATACTACAAATTATTATACCTTATTTAAACAATGATGAACTTAATTAAAAGTAACTAGCAACACGTTCAGGGCTCCAACCATGTATGGGAGGCCCCTGACTTTGGTCAGGGAAGTCAAATACTTGGGAGTAATCCTGGACAGTAAACTGTCGTGGGGGCCACAGGTTGAGACGATTACCCGGAAATCAGTGGCAACCCTTTGGCAGTTAAGGAAGGTAGTTGGCAAAAACCGGGGACTCAATCCAAGGGTGCTTCACTGGGTGTACAGGGCGGTGGTCAGGCCGAGACTGCATTATGGGGCCTTGGTCTGGTGGCCGTGTGTGGACCGGGTGACGGTAGCCAGGAAGTTGGTGAGAATCCAGAGACTTGCCTGCTTAGGTATTACAGGGGCAATGAGGACGACCCNCGGAAGCACCAACCCAATATGTGTCAGAACGGTACCGCTGTTGTATCACTACAATTATGAGTGGAAAGGTGACATTTTTGAAATTTATTTGCTTCTTTGATTCATTGATAGAACTGATTCATACGTCAAAAACTTGACAAAGTCTGTGGCATTGTAAAATCACATTGTTTATCAATAAATTCGTCAATTAATTGATGAAGAACTTCGTCAATTTATTGATGAATAAATTGTCAATGTAAAACAGCTATTAGATAAAAAAGTTTTTTCGGGAATTTGATAATTAATATAAAAAACAACAAAAAGAAGAAGCTGATCTAGCTTTAACAGTTTTTACATTAGTGGTTACGCTAAAATAAAATAAAACTAAATAATGTTTGGATATCCGTACCTTGTGCACTTTTGAACATATTTCATTCACATTTGGTGAGATATAAAATTGTGGATACCATCAGAAAAAGAAAAAAAAGCGTAACTTTGAATCAACCTTCATTACAAGTGCATACATGTATCTGAAATTATCCTACTCACTTTCAAATCCTTGCAGAGTATTTCGAAAATATGCCAGTCCTCATCGGTGTTCCCAGTAGCGTCAGATTCAGCCGGCGGTGGTGGTTCAGCCATAATATCGCGCCCTCATGTAAGTTCCGCAACCCATATATGTGATTTGTTGTACAGATTGATGATATTCCCAGATATTTCAAGTACTTTGGTGTTGATATCAACAAGGCATTGATCCATGAAACTGGAATTAACAATGCAACGTTACTGTCACGCCATCTAGGGTCGTATAATCGATATAACCAAGGAGAAGGGTTCGTACGTGTGTGGATTGATTTTTGAATGAATGGGCCATGGAGGCTATACAAGGAGCCCGAACTCCATGTAAACAAAAATCGTACAAAAATAAGAGGGCGCTAGTGTTCCATATGTCCCATATGTAGAGAGGGGAGATAAAAAGCGGCAGTTTGAATTATAAATCAATCATGTCATTTTTGTAATGTGTTAAAAATTTTAAAATAAATAATGTAAGCTACTTTGAATTATATAAATCATGAAAATATGTCATTCCGGACTGTAATTAAACTAAATAGATAATAAAAAATATTAGCNCAAGAAGAAGGCCACCTTAATCTTGTCATTATACTCGGGTATGGTACTTGTAAGGGCAAGAAATGCTGTACTGCCTTGAGCGTGTCCTACGTAAGACAGTTTGGTCAGTCCAGTGACATTAAGAATGTAGTCAATTGTTGCCGGAAGATCATATAATCCAACGTCGTGAAAGCTAAAGAAAGATAAAATGTTTTTGTTAACTTCTTAGATAATATAATGGTGGCAAAAAATTATAGTACTGAAAGAAAAATAAGATTCCAAGCATTTTAGGGATTTTCTTTTCTTATCTTAATCACTACTACCACCTCCGGAAGTCCGGATGTGTATTAACATCCTGAAACAATTACCTAAAATCCCAAAAAGCATCTGCATTCAAGTCAGGATCTAAAGTGGTATGATTTCGGCTCCATCTGTTTCCTCTAGTATTCAATAAAAATATATCATACCCTGCCTCAAGAGCTTTGAATCCAAACGCTATTCCTGGACCAGTAATGAGGTAGTCGTAGAAACTGCAATCCAGGCCATGAACAAATAGTACTACTGGTCTGGAAGTGTTAGATGAAGATTCGTTCCTGTTGTAAGGAATTCGAACTAACAACAAACGGTAACCGTCTTCCGTGACGACTGTGTGGTTTTCGTAAGAATAATTTTGTTCGTCTAGATACACAAACTTAAAGGTTTAAATTTAAAAAAATGTATAACGTACAAGTTAATTAAATAAAAATAAATAAAATGTTAAAATACTTACAGGATTCTTAGCTGTGTCTAAAAGTTCAAGATCAATTTGTGATCTAGCACAAGCTAATACCATGCAGAGGAACATGAACCAATACATTTTGATAACATTTAAAAATAAAAAAGTTGGACCCCTGTTATATATAGAGCACTAGTTAATAATTTAGACATTATCTTGTAAAGCGTAATCCCGAATTTTAATTAGCAATATAAAAATTATGCCTCCAAAGATACACAAAGGAATTTTTTTTTGTGAAATAAACAGATTAGTTATTTATGATTTGAAAGCACATTGTAAATATAATTGTCAGGATAACAGCGCTATAAAATATATACTACAAATTATTATACCTTATTTAAACAATGATGAACTTAATTAAAAGTAACTAGCAACACGTTCAGGGCTCCAACCATGTATGGGAGGCCCCTGACTTTGGTCAGGGAAGTCAAATACTTGGGAGTAATCCTGGACAGTAAACTGTCGTGGGGGCCACAGGTTGAGACGATTACCCGGAAATCAGTGGCAACCCTTTGGCAGTTAAGGAAGGTAGTTGGCAAAAACCGGGGACTCAATCCAAGGGTGCTTCACTGGGTGTACAGGGCGGTGGTCAGGCCGAGACTGCATTATGGGGCCTTGGTCTGGTGGCCGTGTGTGGACCGGGTGACGGTAGCCAGGAAGTTGGTGAGAATCCAGAGACTTGCCTGCTTAGGTATTACAGGGGCAATGAGGACGACCCCAACGGCCGCGTTAGAGGTCCTTCTGGGGCTGCCGACCCTTCCTACATGGATTATGAGGGAGGCGATGGCGGCATACCTTAGGATAAGGGACGCCGGCGGTTGGAGAGCGAAAAGACGCACTGAGGGCCATGCTGCCGTGGCCCTCAAGGCGGAGAGGGACATCCCAATATCGCCATGAGGGTTAGCACACACGTCTAAATAAGGCGAATTGGTATTACACAAGGCATTACCTATGTGACAATAAAATTCGTCTCTTGGAAAAATTTCATTGAAATTATACTTTTCCAAAAATCCAAAGCATTTAACACTGGATCTAACGGGACATGTCTTTTGCTGTAGGTGTTTCCTCTGCTATTCATCAACCACAGGTCGTAGCCTTCTTCTAGGATAGCGCTTTCAGGTCCAGAGCTTAGAAAATCGTAGAAGGTACAGAAAATCCCGTGTACGAAGATCACCGGTGGTCTTTTTCCATTAGGTGATTTCTTTTTGCCGTAAGGTATTCGAAACGTTAATAAAATATAACCATCCTGCGTCCTTATGGTACACTGAGAGAATTTCTTTGTTACGGTTAGTAAAAATCCATTAACCGTAACAAAATATCTGCATTAAATAGGCGCCAAGTGAGTTGCCTTCCTACCACAAGAAAAACTGCTTTGCTGGAAGGAACTCACTTGCAGTAAGTAGACAGTTTTGCTATAATCTCTTTGCTACCTCAAGTAAGTCAACTCATTAAGCACAAACGACTCAACTCATTAACCCCAAACGAGTGAACTCATTAGCCCCAAGCGGGTCCTCATTAATCCTAGCGAGTCGACTCATTAACCCCAAGCGAGTGAACTCCGTATTTACTATTTTTCGGTGTTGTTGGCTCTCCTCACACTTTCGTGCACCATGCAATGCAACTTAAATGTTGTACATATTTTCAAACAAGCATAAAATGAAAATCCCTATTCGAGAAGTAAGAGTTTGTATCCAGCCTGCATTGTGTGCATGTAATCACGCATGCATATAAGTATTATTGCATACCTACGTAAATACCCTAATTGAAAACTTTCTGTCGGTTGTTAGACAACTGAAAACTGACTCAACACTCGATCACAAAACATCTATTTATTATAAAGAACCCATCGATTGACGAACGTATATCCAGTGGTTACGTGTTACAGCAAAATGGCGACACCTCTAACTTCTCTATGGACGAAACCACGGTCAGTATAAGGCACGCATAATCGCGCATGCGCACTGAGCCGAATTCCGGTTTATTCTGGAAATTATTAAGTGAGGCCTCAGTTACAGTAAGTGAGCCCTAATTTGTTACAAATAGGGACTGACTATTCCCAATTGGATCAATTCTAAAAAAGTACATTTACTTACCCGAGCAAAGCAGCTCACTTGGGACAGATAGACAGTCGACTAAAATAAAATTTCAACTGAACTATCATATAGCCACAAGACTTTTCTTTGTTGTAGTAGCAAACACGTTTCAGAAAAACGTATTTTACTTGTGGTAGCATGAATTTTTTTCTGTGAGAACAAAAATTTTACCTACTGTAGCTAAAATATCTTAGCAAAGCCCCTCACTTGGTGGATTTCTTTCAGTGTATGATTTTCATAATAGTAGCTGTTCTGTTCTAGGTACAAAAACTGAAATAAAAAAAGTTTGGCTAGCTACCTAAAACGGTGCGTTAGTGGGCGTTGTGTATAATTACTGGGCTTTTTGCCGTGTCCGGGGGAGAAGTATTTTTAAGTGGTATATTACTTAAAATATGACTAGAGACGGCCTAAAAATGATAATTCATTTAAGTTAGATATTTAAATTCTAGCCCATGACCTTTTTAATGTACCTACATACTAATAAGAACTTACCGGTCTAGCTTTTGCGTCATATTGCGGACATAGTTGTGGGAATGCTGTCAAAAAAATCTTGAAGGCGCACAAAAATTGCATCTAAAAATGGAATTTATAAGTTCTCGCCATATCACTAATTAATCATTATTTATTGGTACTTGAAAAACCTATAAGTTGTGATAATTTATTTTGATGAGTATACTCTTAATATTAAGTACCTACTAAATAATACTCGAGAATTATGCTTAAAAATTCACTGGGGATATGAAAATATAAAAACAATTATCTTTTTTGTTTTATATTTTAGACAAATGTATTTTGATGATGGCAAACTTACAGTCATAAAAACAAATTTTTAACTCTAACAAATAATTTACATGTCAGGTCAAGAAATAAACGAAGTACACAAGAAAAATATTTTTTTTAGTTGCTTATATATGGAAAAATACACAGACAGTTGTTTGTCCTGTTCAATTTTTTGAGGAACATTTCCACGAATAATATTCCATTAAACTATTTCGCTATGTTAATGAATATATAGTTTTCAAGACACAAGGTTATTTGAAACAAAGGACGATCAAATATAAAATTTTACTGCTCTTGTTTCAAGAATAAGATTTTATGTGTACAGAGTGTGTCACAAAATGTATTATTTCACTAATAATATTAAAATATACTTTTTAATGAGATATATTCTCCTTTTTTAAATTCATCGTCTTCTCCAGACACATTTTAAATTATAGCAGAGGAGTGAATATAATTACCTCAACAGACAGCTCCAAAAAATTTTTTTGCCAGCTCCTTACGACTCCAGATCAAGTATTTCACTCACTGTATCACACAATACAAAGTATACAGAATAGTATTCTGAAGAAAGGATAAACAAGCAAATTAATTTGCAATTAGAAATAGAAGCGATATTCAATAACATCTAATTCGATAAACCGGTTTATAACTGACATGGAGGACAAAGAAATTTATCCGTACCTACTTGAAGAAAAATATTTTCATGTATCTAAATGTAAATAAGAAATACTCCTTACCCTAACAGTTTCAGGTACAGAGCTTTTAAAATTTATTGGAAATAACTACGATTGTTTCTTTCACCTGAGAAGATGAATCGTATAAAATTAATAAAAATAAAAATTCGAGGTATTTACCTTTAGATAGACAAGCGTGGTCTTGCTTGCTGTCGACGTAATTTTGTAGATATACGAGGCTCTTTATAAATATAGTTAAGATACAAGTGAATTGTTTCTAAAAATATACCAACTTTGGTGGTGAATCATTTTTTATGACATTTTTGTCCTCTCAGGTCCAGATTTAAAAAAAAAATCTGGTACCCGTGTTTTCGTTTGATATGTTAAAGACTACATTTATTGAACTTTTCTTATCTCCATCGTAAATTGAATTACCTACTCTTATATTTTAGGAAACTTAATAAAATTAACACTTAATAGTTATACTAAGTGTTCTATTTTTTCCGGAATATTTTATAATTAAGTGAGAAAATAGTTAATCTTAATTATAGAATATTTAACTCGTTATACCTTAAGCACATCACATCTTACTTAAAGAAATATAAAATACATACATTTTTTGTTTATTCAAAATTTTTTTAATAGTTGCACATGTAAGATATAATTAATTAATTAATATTGTTTAATATCCTTGAAAGAAACTGTATATTTGAACACTATTTCAAGATACAGATACTGTACATTAAATATTTAACAAATTGTTTAATTAAGTGATTATAGGGGGCTGTTCCAAAAAAATGCAGTTCCACATGACATGATATCTAAAGCTTAGAGTTGTACGTATTGAACAGCGCAACTACGTCATCATTGATCATAGTCTTCACGTCAATAGCCCATATAAAGTCCAGATGGTTGAATAATTCGTATTCCATCAAGTTCTGTTTTACCACGTTGGGTAGCTCATTTGCCAATTGCTCTACATTCTGAGAACATTAATAAAACAATTAATACAATGATATAAAAGAAACAGGTCTAGTGTAAAATGCATATTTTGTCGAGTACTTACAGATACATCTGCAAAAAGATCGTTTTTGCCGTAATATAATGCTACAGGTGCTGTGATCGAAGAAGTGTCATACTCTGGAGGCGACAATCGTTTGTAAACCAATAGGTTTTTCACGCTGCCATAATCATATCTTCTAAAATACCCTGAAAATAATAACACTGTTTAGTATCACATCCAATTAAAGGCATATGTGTACTGCGAATTTTTTCTTAATTTTTAATCTTATCTAATATTTAAATAAATACTGTCGTTACTTAAAATAATTGTCAACAAAATAATAACATAGTAGATTAGTATTGAAACACAACACACTTTTATAATGATACGTGCTAGCGGACTTTTAGATATTGAACTAAATACAGTAATTTCCAGCAGTCTCCAAGTTCTCACCTGATTTCATTTCTTGCATGTAATGCAACATCATCTTTACCGATATCCCTGCAGGGGTGTTGGAACCCATTACTGGTATGAAAGACTAAAATAAGAAATAAAATTAGATTAACACAAAGTCTATTCTGAAGTAGGTGACAATATATATCAACTACAATTATTAGGTATGTATACCTACCCTGTTCAATTGCGGTGAATCTTCTCCAACCAAAAAGAACACAACTTTAGCACACATTTCTTGCACAGGTGAGTCGTCGTTGCACATTACTTGCATTACTTGAGGAAGAAGCTCTGTATGAGGCAAGAATTCGTTTATTTTGAATGTTTTGAAGACAACCTGCATAAAACATTAACATGTAATAATATGTAGTAGCATTGCTACAACCAAAAACTATATCTAGCTGCTGAAAAATCTACTTACTTCGAGTACAGAAGTATAGTTTGCCAAGAACCGTACCAGGGGTTGAGCCATATCCTGCATGTGAGCAACTGGTGCCAAGGCAGTCATCAGATTGATTTTGTCGTTGTATTCTGGCCTCAGAGCAGCCATGGCGAAGAATTGGGTGGTTCCTTGAGAATGACCTACATAATTTACTTTTTGCTGACCGGTGGTTTGTAGTATGTAGTCTATTTTGGCAGGAAGGTCATAGTTACCACAGTCATCAAAACTGAAAACGACATAATGTAAGTGAATAATTTGGTGAAGTACATATTAACGCACAGTTTTGATCTTAATCAAATTATAATAATATGCATGCAAAGTTGTACAGCTTAAAGACTTTATAGCTAAAAAAATACTAATGTCAAACAAGAAATCGCACTTTTGGTAATACATAAAAACGCCCCCCTTAAAGCTTGTATTGTTGCTGTCCATAGAAAATGGAATATTAACATAGAATGAAATCTGATATACAACAACCTGTACCATTTGCATACCTAACATTCCACTGTAACTTCGGCTTCCATATCGTAAGATGGTGTTATTTAGTTTTTGTGATTTCAAACGCAGGTAATGCAGGTATCATTTTGTTTTGATTTTGACCCTTGTTTATGTACTTTTGACGTTTGTCATATTTTAATACGTTTGATTATTGCCAAATAAAAAGTTATATAGTTAAACCACAGCAAAATTAAACCTGATGGCCGTATATTTATGTCAACACCAAATAATCCTGGTCCATCAACCAGTTCTACCTTTGTACATTTTGGTAAGTATATTTTCATGAATACAGAGTTTAAGTAGTCAACATTCATGTATTTTAATTTTCATAAAAAGCATATTTTAGTATCACATTTAGCTGTATTTCTATTTTAGGTGATGAAAATAATGAATTGGGTGCAATTCAGTACCGTCAGACATCTGAAAATTCTCAAATAAGGTTAAATGATCCTGTAGCACGCAGTATGTAATATTAATGAGTTAATGTAATATCAGTTTTTATTTGCCGTTTTTTCAGAACATGGTTTGTTGAAAAATGTTGGTGTACATAAGAGTTCACAACTGTCTCCTGTCTCCAGAATTCTGTATAAGCAAGCTTTGTATTACGAGAAGAAAGCTTCCATACTCTCCAAACGGAAAATGGATTGACAACGTAAAATCCAAACTATCGAAAAATGGTCAAAAGAAAAATGCTTTCAAAATTTGACCAAACAATTTAACCATCCTGCAGTTCACTTTTTCAAAAGACAGGTTGAATCATTTGGCAAAAAGGCTAAAGGTAGAAGATTTGACATTGAAGATAAATTTCTTGCCCTTGCCCTTTACAAGCAGAGTAACGCAGCATACAAATTACTATCCTCTTTGTTTATTTTACCTTCAAGAGTAACTTTACAAAAAGTGTTGTCAAGAATTCCCATTTCTTCGGGAATTCATGATGCTGTTTTTAAAGTTTTAAGTTCAGCTAGTAAAAAAATTAAACCCGACAATAAGTTCTGTGTACTAATGTTTGATGAAAAGTCAGTTGAGCCTAATTTACATTATAATCAATTTCTGGATGAGGTTGATGGCCTTGAAGATTTTGTCGGGGAAAAGTTTGAAAAAATTGCAAATTATGTTCAGGTAAGGCAGCCATAAATACGTCATATACCGGGTGACCACTAGATTACTACCCAAGCTCTAGCTTAGGCACGAAAAAAGATATCGATTTAAAATTTTTGGCATGCGTATCATTGAATTTGATGCAAAATTTAATAAAAACAACTGACCGCCACTTCCTATTTGACCGAAAATGCCATAAACTTTGTTATTTCATATGGAACTCCTTGTATATTATTTTTGTTTTCAATTCTGCTGAAGAAACTAACACTAAAATATGTATTATGTCCTATACCTATCTTTGTCAGTTTCCGAGAAAATTGCGCTTTAAAATGGCTAATTTGTCATTTATAAAATCCTTTTGAAAGAAAACAAACGAAGAAAGGGACAAAGTTATATGGTATCTTTAACTTATTTTAGAAGTACTAAAGTCTGATATCATAAAAATGTTGCACTTCCGGCACATCCGGAATAGATATTTTAATGAAACGAAAAAAATATTTAAAAAGAAATGATAATATATCCAAAGCTTTATAAAAAATGTTTTTTATATTGCAAGAGGGTACACACTTAAAATAGAATCTTTATTTTATAAGATTTGTATGCAAGATCACATATAAATAAAATACTTATAAGGTTTGTTCCAACGGTTGCGGTTGCAGGTAGTTTGTGAATTGTCAATTTCCGCAGTTGATTGTTGTGATCTTTTAAAATATACATTTTATCTTAATAATAATGAGTACTAACATTTTGAAGTGAAATAATACTTTTTATCGGATTTGTTAATATATAAGCTGATACAATTTAATATCTAGAGATATTAGTAGATAAACAACAGTAGTTTCTCTGCATTTTACTTGGTACTCGTAAAATTGTTATTTCAATCAGTTAATTATATTAATTAATAAATAAAGATTGCATGGCTTGGACATAATTATATTCTTTATGATTAATCTCTGGCCATAAAATAACTTCATTTTGAGTTCCGACAATTTGAAAATGGCCTGCAGCTGTTGGAACAATCTTATGAATTTGTTAAGTTATGTAAATATAAGAAAATTGGTAGTACATAACATATTTTTACTCAGAATAATTTAGATAAGTAAGTCTTAGTATTAAATATGTCCTTTCCGTTGTAATGAACCATTTCTAGTTTATATAATAAATTGTTTTGTATTTCATAAAATATTTTTTTATTCCTTTAAACAAATGGGGTTCTGGTATGTTTATGCTTTTCCTTTATATTTAAAAGTTTAAATATATATATTAAAGTATGGACAATTTAAACAAGGTAGATTTCTTTACTTTAATATATATTTAAACTTTTAAATATAAAGGAAAAATATTTAATAATAATACCCATGGGCAACAATAAATACTGCACTTAAATTAGGCAACCAAATGTACATATACATGTCTACGGTTGTCTACATTATGCATTAGTTAGGCTTCCAAATCACCAGAGGCGCTGTGGTAATGGTTTAGTGGATTATTTAGGGAGATTTCGTTCTATCTTGTATATTATTTTTTCTATGGTTGCTGTCAAACAAAGATTATCAAGACAAGTAAATTCACCTGTAGTCCCAGAAATCTTTATCTGTGTCTGGATTCATGGAGACATGCTTCCTCGACCAGGTGTTCCCGCGGTTGTTTCCCAACCAAACGTCATAGCCGGCGTCGGCAAGATTCAGAGCTAGCGAGTCTTGTGGCCCAGCGCTCACCCAATCCACGGAGCTGCAGAAGAGACCGTGCATCAACAACACAGCCGGTTTATTGGAGTCTGCGACAGCCGTTTGATATCTAGCGCTGGGTATGCGGTGCAAAGTCAAAATATATCCGTCCTCGGTGGTCACCTGGTGGTCTTCGACGGCGTAGCCGTATTTGCTCAGGAGTTGATACTAGATATGAAGAAATATTTCAAATAACACTTCATTTGATACTGAGAACTATACGGTAATGCGGGTACTAATCTTTCGGAAGGGTATATACCAAGTAACAATTTGAATTTTTTAATAAGCTGCAGGATTACCATAAATCTATTGATAGATCTTTATTTCTGTGACAATAATCATAAGATTCTTTGAACCGAATAGATCTTCAGGAGGTCTTTCAAGATAAATCGGCAGCGACATAGTTTTTTTTCCAAATTGTGTCAGTTCTTTTTAATTCATGTAAACTATGTATTTGATAAAGAGGTTCATTTCTCCAGAAAATTATGAATTATAAGATGACTATGAAAAAAAATAATTGCCACTTTCATGTTTGTGGTTCATGTTACATGATATTAAAACACAATAAAAAATAATTATTCTTGGAAAACTTAAATTGAGAATTATCTAACAATGTCCACTTGGAACACTTATAATATACCTATAATAACAATTGGGCCATTAATAAAAATGTAAATAAATATATTACCTACACTTATCATTCCAAATAATTGTTTCTGAATGATATTCACATTTGATGAAATCTTATCTTAAGTAAAATTAATGATTAAATAAGTTTTATACATATCTCAAGTTACCTTAACCATATTCTTTAAATAGTGTTTTCCACAAATACAAATAATTTCAAACATTTATTAACTGAATAATCTAAAGCTTATCAAATAATAATAAGAATGTTACGTCATGCCATCTGGGTATTTTCAAAGACGCCGCAGTAAAACGAATAAACAGGTGCAAAAAACGATCAAACCATCAAGATTTTAGGTACTGAAATCTACGAAAATACTAACTTTTTTATATATAACTCCACATGTAAATATTCTTATAACATTTACTTGCTTAGTCCTACATATAAAATTGTTTACCTACGACCACTACTGTAAATACTTAAAAACACACCGTCTGCCATCAATGTAAGATTCCTATTACCTACGGTAAAAAAATCGTACAGTTTTCCTAGCGACCGCCTAGCAACGGTCAATACAATAATGTTTGTATTGACCGTTGCTAGGTGGTTGCTAGGAAAACTGTACGATTTTTTTACCAAGCTGTGCGATTTTTTTAGCGTACGTAATAGAGGAATCTTACATTGATCGCAGACGGTGTGTTTTTAAGTATTTCAGTAGTGGTCGTAGGTAAATAGTCCAGGAGAATTACACATTGGCATGGCTGTTGCTTGACGTAGATTAGATATTAGTAAAAATCGGTCGAAAATAATATAAACAATGAATATATAAGGTTGCGCCAAGAAAAAAAGTTGTGCTATTTGCAGAAAAAATTAAAAACTGCAAAAATACTCAAAAATCACGTGTTTTTCCTAACATTTTCCAATATAACTTCTTAAATATGCAGTTTACAGAAAAAACTATTACTGCTGAAATTGTTTGTTATGAAATTTGCTATAAGACACAATTGTTTTGAGACCTGCGTATTCAATATTTTTGTTGCTAGAAAGCCAAAACAGCGTAAGAAAGTGATGAAAATCGAGGTAATTTTGAAGCGTTCAACTGATAGGTAAGAAATTGTCCAATTCTACTATAAATGTACATGTAAGTACTTTAAAGGATTACAAAACGAAATTCCAAAACCCGATCGAAATCGGTCTGATAGTTTTGGTATGAGACAATTTGTTACTAAATTTCAGCGCGAAATGTCGTTATTTTTTTGCGTCAGTGCTGGGGTTAAAGTTAGGCATTTTAATTGGCGCTGATTTTTTTACACATACTTGGACTCTTTAACTATCATATAGAATCGTTATAATATTAATTTTCTTTTTTTTAATAATTTTTGGAGCGATTTTAAAAATTCGAAAAATTTTAACTTTATAAACAAATACTTTCGTGAAGCCGTTTTGCGGGTTGGAATATATACCAAAGTACTAAAAAATAGTTCTCGGAAAGACGCTTAACTTGAAAAAAAGAACGTTCAAATCGGTCACATAAGTTCCGAGATATCAAGTGTCAAAGTCAACAAGCGTTAGCTGCAAAACTATGCATAATGTAACAACAACAAAAATTGAATTTGGTAGGTTTTTTAAGAACTTTTCGTATGTGCTTTTATAAATATTATCGCACGTGTGCTTTTTATATGAAAATTCAATGAATATTGCCAAACCGACCGTTTGAGCCGCAAAACCGGGGGGAGGGGATGAATTATAGAAATTGAAATCGCGTTCAAAAAGAGCGCGCGCGCTTCGGCGTTCAGTATCTCGGCTTCTATGGCTCCGATTTTGATGATTTTTTTTTAAATCGATGTAGAAAAATGAGAGGAATTCAATTATCAATGTTTCATTAAAATATTATAAAGCCTTATCAGCCTATTACGACTGCTTAAAATTTCATACATTTCATTGTTGTATATTCATGTAAATAATATCGATGACTATTGTTAAGAGGTATTAATTTTAATAACTACTTGGTAATAATGTTTAAAATCTTGAAATTTTTATGTCCTAATGTAATTTAGCAGTAATAGCTTTTTCTGTAAACTGCATATTTAAGAAGTTATATTGGAAAATGTTAGGAAAAACACGTGATTTTTGAGTATTTTTGCAGTTTTTAATTTTTTCTGCGAATAGCACAACTTTTTTTCTTGGCGCAACCTTATATTTTCATTGTTTATATTATTTTCGACCGATTTTTACTAATATTTAATCTACGTCAAGCAACAGCCATATCTCGAAGGTTTTGAGCTTAATTCTCTTGGACTAAAAGTATAGTACGTAATACGTGGTGTAATGCAACTACGCACTCATAGAATTACGCACTCGCCGCTACGCAGCGTCGTGCGTAACTTTCCCATTCGTGCGTAAAATGCTTTTTACAACACTTATTACGTAATATACTATTACTTTTATTTATAAGTACGTCAAAATAATTTTTAGAATGTGGTGTTAGGATAACAGCAAACGCATGTTTTACAAACGCTTTTTTTTAGTTATTATTTTATTTTGAGTAAATTTAAATAGTAACAATTAATAAACAGAACATCAAGGATTTTTTATTTGTTCTACACGATTTACTTTTTAAGTTTTCAGTACCTTCAAAACGCCAGAAATTTGACTATTTCTCGGCCAGTGATATGGCCACCTTATTTTACAGTAATAATTTCAAACACAAAGGGAGAAATGATAATTATGATTGATATGAAGTATTAAACATCATAAATACGATGAATTGTCGATATGTATGTTACTTGGGATAAGATTATATCTAATTGTAAGATTTTATCTGTTTATTGCAGAAAGCTCTTGTTGCGTTTTATCTCGCTTTTATTATATTATTAATAGGTTTTTTAAATTACTGTTCCAAGTAGGTATGTTATGCTAATGTTGTGGCAGGTGGTCCACTTCAAAAGTGTTTCTTATCAAAATGCAACAAATAATAAATTAACCAATCAACTGAGGGAATTTAAATAATTATCATACTGAAAATAAGTACAATACAATACATAGTAATAATCATTCTCTCGTTTATATTTTTTACACATTTAAAAGTTACCAGGCGCGGATCCAAAGGGAGACGATGGGGACGATCGCCCCCCCCCCCCCAAATGGTCCGAAAAAAAATCAAAAGATTAAGCAGGATATAATAATAAAGATAAAAATTTTTCTGGACTGCATGCCTTTTTCAAGAAATTACGCCAGACATGCTGACTAACAGTCTTTTAAAAACCGAAATCGTATGTGTATTAATCAAAATGGAGGACACTTCGAGCAATTGATGTAAATCAGCTGTCTAAATATTCTTCTCCTTGTTGTGTTCCGAGTTTTAGCTTGTTTCGTTTTGGGTTTTGTTTAAGTTGTTGTTAGTGGTTTACTTTTGTTTGTCAAACCGCTTTTTAAACATATCAGTAAATATTGACCAGGCCTGATAAAATGTGAGAGAAAAGTGGTTTTGCAATGCCTTCGTGACGCTGTCACATAGCTACTTTTTCGGACTTTAGAAAAGAACCTGTTTTTTTCTGGAAAACTGTTAAACATAAGTACGGACAACCTTATCAGTCGAAAGGGCATTCAATTTTGCATTCACCCATGGCAATTAATATGGGTCATTCTATTTGAAAAAAAAGTTTTTCTACTCGTAAGATTATTAAATGTAGGTCTCAGTATTTCCGAGTCTGAGTAACGTACATGTTTTGCTCACAATTAAGAAGATTTATGCCAAAACGAACTGTGAAGACTGAAGGTTTCTAACTCTTATTGTTTAGATGCTATCCTAGCCTCATTTAGAGAACTGAAATCGTGATTTTTTTTTCAAAAACAACTGATTATCTCGAAAATGGTAAGTTTTAAACACCATGTACATTTAATACATTGTACCTAATTTTAACCAAGGGATTCAAAAATGCAATGGACAGAATGTTCCATTTAAAATAACAAAGTTATGTAGTGCCCACGCGAAATGGAACACCCTGTGAAGCTAAACATGGCCCACGTGATTCCAAACAACTTTTATTAAAACCATTTTTTTATAAATTTTACAGTTGCAGAGTTACCGCACAATCCCTCCTAGGTGGAACACCCTGTATATTGAGATTTAAAAATACTGTCTTCGACTCCCTGCTTGTCAAAAATGAATAAGCTAATTTTAGTAGAAAAAAAGTGATTTTCTGTACAAGACTCATTTTAATCAATGACAAATTATTCCCATTTGAATGAATTTTTGCCACTCCCTTCCTTATTTTGAAATTATCTGACAATCTCAATATTTTTTTTATTGAGAAAATGTTTAAATTCCGATAAATATTTTTGCAATTGGTCACAACTCAATGTACTTACGATATTCAAACCAAAATCTTCATGTTTGCTAGCTGCGGCTTTCTGGATCAGTTCTTCCGTAAAAAGATCGTTCACAGTCAAATTCAGCCCTTGGGCAGAAAATGGCACCGCCAGCAAAAGGAAAACCACTTGGATTGAATACATTTTGGCCAATTGCAGATATCTGATATCTGCATCTTTTATATAGAATACTTATCTGTGCTTTATCATGACATATTTTTAATTATACGAGTATACATATTTAAATATAATATCAAACAAAGTATCACTCCGTAGGTACTCCTATCCAGTTCTCAAAAGTAGGTAATTATAATACACTCCATCACCGGAAATTACGCCATTTAGAAAATGCGTTTTGTTCAAGGAATGACTGTCAAAACAATTTTATTGATCATAGAAATAAGTTAAATTTTCAATTTAATAATAATTTCAGTTATTTGGAGAACATGGTTTAAACCATAATCTTATGGTATATTTCAGTAGTATATGTAGACAATTATTCAATGTTCTTTTAGTGTGAGATGTTTGGATTTTCCAGATGCCCCTCATTTCCCCACCTAATACATTATTTCAAAATATTAACATACTACCCCTTTTCCGCACTTTTTCGAGGTATTGTGTGCTTCGCTTTATTATAAAATGCGTAAATAATCGTTATCGTGCATAGAATCAAAGGGTCAACATAAAATCACAACGTGTAATGCTATTCAATTGACGTAAGATCATCCAAAACTATTTAGATTGGAAGATTATCAAGTATAAGTGAATTCAAAACAAATTTCTGTCACAATTGAGTGGTTTGAAGAGTTGTTTATAAATAAATAGCACACTTCTGTTGGATGTCATGCATATTTCTGGATATGTTGTAGATATTGTCTGACGTTATATGGATATGTGAAGATTCCAGTCGTTTTAGTCTCAACAATGAAATGGTCAATCGTCAAAGCCCATAGTCAAATTCTTAAAAAATATAACTGTACAAAATTGTTTCACTTTTTTAATAAATAAGATTTTGCATATGTTTTAACAATTATTATTTAAGGGAAAATGAAAACTAAATATAACTAGAATGTTATTTGAAATTTTAATTACTTAAACCGTTGAGTGAATGATTCACTCAATTTGATAGGTACATGAGTAAATATATTTATTATATTTTTTAGTCCACCATTTTAAATCTGCAAATCTGCTTGTCAAAATGGAGTTTTATTTTGGTTAAGACGTTTTGCCAAAACATCTACAATTATTTCCACTCCTCACTGATAATAATCAATTTTTTCAAAAATAAATCTTCGACCCAGGACCATACTGCGGCGCCTTGGGCGTGATTTTTCTAAAAAACATATCTAGAAATGTACAAACAAAACATCTGTCTATCTAAAAAATGTACAAACGTGAATTTTTGTTAGGACAAATTTAATTGTTGTATATGTGTAATATGATATGCACAGAAAAACAAGCAACACGCGTATAATAAATTATCAGAAATAATTGTAAATTATTAAAGTAAAAATCAAGTGGTATGATATATATATTTATAACACTTAAAAGAAATAATTGACAATTATTACCTTTAAACTGGAGAAATCATAAAATTATCTGACGCGAATTGCAATATCGTTTGATAATAGTTTTTTGTGTACAATTACATATTAATTAAAATAATCGCTGTATTTTTCCTTCCATGTTTCATTATTTGTTGTAAATAAACCAACTAATAGAAGTCTGTTGCAAAGCTATTTATTTATACTCCTACAATATTAATACAACAAATACAAGTGACTTAATATAAATTATTATTCTCGTTCAAAAACTGGATATCCTTCTGTAGAGCCTGTTCTACTTTTTCCTTCATTTGGTTCATGTCCTTTGAGTACAACAGATCTAAATTGTTATCCAGCTCCTCCATATTCACCTGCCAGTAGACATTGGGTAACTCCTTGGCCAAGGTGTCCACGTCAGTGGTACTGATAAGGACGTCGTTCGGAGTGTAGAACAGAGCTACGGGGATAGTCACTTTGGACAAGTCGTATTCTTTGCCCTCGGATTCCTCAGAGTACGCCTCAAAACGGCCTAGAATTCGGGAGAGATTTCCATCAGTTGTAAAAGGCAAAAAAAGTACTTGAAATTAAAATAATGGGGTGTATTTTTACTCACCAGTTCTCTTTAGTTGCACCAAGTGCAAAATTTCTCTGACTGATGCTACTGATGGTACTCGAGACATGAACTGATTCATAGTTGTCTGGAAAATAAAGTATACACTTCTTCAGAACATCTGGGGTATGTATAGTTCAATTTAACAAAAAAATTTCTACAATTCTGTTCTAGTACAATTAATTTTATTTGATTAGCAAATTTAATGTGTGGTATTCATCAACCTTACGTCCCTATAACTAAGAAAAATATGTTCCATGTTTCGACTAAACAAATAAAACTTGAACAGTAATTTCTATTATTTGGGCCACTTATTGTAACATTTAGTAGCTTATGTAGCAACACCAGAGCCATCTAATCGTTACTAGAGCTATTTATTTGTAAAAATGATAAAATATGTCGATAGATTTACCTGGTTCCAATGTTTAGAGTTATATCCATTGACGAGGAAGAACGTATTTTTGCATACTTTCTCGTTATTCCATTTTTCCATACAGTTAGACTCAGCATCGTGGGTCAGCTCGCTAGAAGGCGCAAAAGTATTTACTCCAAGATTCTTGATAACCCACTGAAAAATCAAATGCAATAAAAATGAATCTGCCTCAAATCTCATACTTACAGATCTCTGTTTCATGTGCTCTTCAATATTATGCAAAACGTCGTTGCTACTATGTCTCAGGAATACAACAGGACCTAGAGATATGTGGCGTTCAATCTTACTCTTCATTTCGGGCATTTCGGAAGCTAGTACGTAGAAGGAGGTGGTACCTTCATTGTGGCCTATGTAGCTTAGTTTGCTCTGACCGCTGACTGACAGGGCTTTGCTGATCATCGCTGGCAGGTCTCTCGTACCAATATGATCGAAGCTAAAGAAATTGAAGGTATACAGACAACAAAATAAATTAAAACGCGTTTACATATACAAAGTTAGCTGTCTGAAAGGTTTTAAAACTAAACAGAAACTCTCTGCTTTGTTTGTTCCCTTCTTACCAGTATCTCCAGAAAGATGCATCCTTCTTAGGATCCAAAGTGGTGTGCCTTTGGCCGTAAATGGTTCCTCTGGAGTTCCCAAAGAACACGTCGTAGCCCTTGTCGGCAAGGTAGAGGGCTATACTTTCGGATGGTCCACCGTAAATGAAAGACTCAGAGTTGGTCATCAAACCGTGCATAAAGAAGACGACACCTTTACTTTCTTCTTCAGGAGAGGAAGAAGAAGAGTATTGGTTTCCGGATTTCGAATATTTTCCTTTGTTATCCTGTCGACCATGGGGTATCCGGAACATTGTTAAAATATATCCATCTTCTGTTTGTACGTCGTGGGATTCCACAGTGTACCCGTAGGATTTTACCATGTCCATCTAAAGTTTAAATTAAAGAAATATTAAAGTAAAATAATTAATTCCTAAACTATTATTATTCAATTTTAGACTTTATTAGTCCAAGGTGATAAAAGTTAAAATCCATTAATACTTTAAATACAGAAAATCGCCGTTGATTATCCAAAATTACTTACAAAATCATTGGAAGGATCATGTCTTATCTTGAACCCCAAGAATCCACATGCTCCGAGGGCAAAAACAGAGCAAAGTATAATCGTAGTTCTCATATTGTCGTCACCTTGTACCGGTTCGGTTTCTTTATTAAACACTAACTACGATTTCCCATGTTTTGCTTTTATAATATTTTAATGCTGCATTAGCTTAAAGATTTGCTGATGCAGCTATTCCATGGTAATTATAAATCGTAAGTTTTGCGTTAGATAAAATACATTTTTAACGGAAAGTGTAAACAAATTTAAAAATTAAGCAAAATCTCCTTGGGAACAGATATCTTGCATCGTAGATTTGATTGAGTGGAAAATAATTTTTAATTCTTTATATTTTTAAAGCTAATTCAAAAGACACTTAACCAATTTTTTTTATATCTAGATTTCTGGTATCGAAGGACATTGACCATATTCGATAAGATTTTTTTGTAAAAATGTTTGAATTAGTGTAATACCTTCGGAATTTTCTTATTTTTGAACTGCATAATGTTCCTTGACCTTCAATTCTGTTACATTGTTGCTATGTTTGGTGTACACAGCGCATGTATGAATGAATTTAATATATCTTGTATTTTTTTCAAGATTAACCTTATGTTAATGCTGTTAAAAGTTATACACTTGGCTTATCTAAGGTCAGCACATCATAAAACTTTGTTTAAATTGAATGAAGATCAACGTTACTTCCATAAATTTCCATAAACCCACTTTCTACACATTTAAATAAAAGAAACAAGTATTATTTAGTTTCTATAAGAAATAAAATTCAGAATTTTCATTATACTATTTTTTTATTGCCAGCCTTGCTTTGCACCACTATACCAATGTTAATTAATAATCTCAAATAATCTGCAATTATACAATATGTACAATGTCATTTAAATTAAAATATAAAACAGCTAATGCCTCGAAAAGATACTGACAACCTTGCTATAAACAAGTGTAGCTGCATCAATGCCAAAGGTAAAGTCCAGATGGTTGAATGTGTAGTCGGATAACAATAACTTAGCGGCACAGTTGCCCAGACCCGTGCAAAGCCTCTCCACATCCTTCTCTCCTGCTAGCCAGTCATTCCTGCTGTGAATGAGGTAAACAGGGGCGGTGATTTTGGACAAGTCATAGTTGGGTGGCGACAGAGATTTGTAGTCCTTAATATTTTGTAAGGTACCCCAGTCGTACTGACGGAATTTACCTTAAATAAAAAGTTAACACGGTATTACTAAAATTTCAAGGTTGTAAAAATTGTAGTAGCAAGAATATCATGTTAATTTTTTATACAAACATAAATTTTTTATACAAACATAACTGAACCGACTTTTAACCGAAAAATTACCAGTCCTTTGTTCCCTGTGTACTCCATTTTTTCCAAGTATACCTGTATCATTCTAGTCAGCAGTACAGGTTCAACAATACTACCAACCTGAATTTATTTCTTGCGCGTAGTGGAGAAACTGCTTCGTAGCTGATCCTGCTGGCGTGTGGGCCATGACAGTCGGCAGCAGCGTGGTATTCATCTGTTTCGGACTGAATCCGCAGAGAGCAAACAAAGAGTTCTTGCAGAGGAGCTGACCTACGCCTTCTTGACATATACCCTCTATCATCATGCTCAAGAAACCGTCACTTGGCAGGAACTCGTCCATTCCTATGAGTGCTGTCAACGCCTAGAAAGCAAATAGTGATAATAAACTCCCTTCCAAATCATCGGTTGCTTATACTCACATTTAAAGGTTTTTCCCATACAGCCATGATCCTCATCAGCGGGCTGGTCATATGGTTCATGAAACCAATTGGCGCAAGACTCACGTGAGCTTTGATCTTGTCGTTATACTCGGGCAAAGAGGAAGTCATGACGTAGAAGACAGTGGTGCCTTGGGAGTGGCCAGCGTAGTAGAGGGAATCGGCGCCCGTTTGTGCCAGGACGTAGTCGATTATGGTGGGTACGTCGATGACTCCTATCTGGTGCCAACTGAACAGCCAGAAACCTTCGTCGGTGTCGGGATTGAAGCTGGTGTGGTTGCGGGAGTAAGCGTTGCCTCTGACGTTTCCCATCCATACGTCGTAGCCTTCGTCGGCGAGGATGTAACCTACGATTGTTGTTCAATTAAAATATTATCCTAAGAAGAATATGACAGTAAACGAAACAAAAATTCAATAAATAATAATCAATATTTAGAATATCTGCAGAACAGATAAAAATCTGTTATCCATTTATTAAATATTTAAGGATATCTGATTGTTTCGATTTCTGTCATCAGTAAGATCAAATATATTTTTAAAAATTATGAAATAATTTACGTATCGAAATTGTAAATTTAGAGAATTTTTTTGAGACTAACTCTCGCTGTTTACAATGTTAGTAACAGCGAAGCCTTTGTCATGCTTACAGCGGAAATTTCAATTCAGTTACCTAATGATTTTGCAGCGCCTTGAATAATCCAATCAGAAGACGAAGCAAGTACTCCATGTTGGAGATATGCCACTTTTCCATTACTTTGTCCACTTTTCCCATGGGGGATTCTATGCACATTCAATATGTAGCCATCGGGAGTGGTAATGTAATGGTCTTCAACCGGATAACCTTCCGCAATTACCATATCAGGCTACGAAAGGAGATTTATTTTAATTATTTCGAGAAAATACGTTTTTACAATAACCTTGATAAGCAATTATAGATTTCTGTGATTTCCACAATAATACACAACAGACTTTTCAATAAATGAGCTAACTAATGGCTCCAAGGAATATTACTTTAATTTCCTTCTTTATTTATATATTCCCAAGTCAATTTTTTAAATATTTTTTAGTATCCCAAGTATTTTCAGATGTCTTTTAGATAACTCGGAAGTTATCTCAATAAGACTATCAACAAACTATGAACTTGAGATTAATTTCTGTATTACACTAAACACTTGAATGATTCTAAAAACACCTGCACTTGCTCAAATTCTGATAAACATATGCCACAAACAGATGTATTTTCTTAAACAATAAACTACATAGAGATTAAAAATGAATAATACTTAAATTGAATATTAACAAACCAAAGCTTGATATTTTAATAATTAGGTGTACCTATAATTTTTGAACGTGCTTCAATATTGCGTTTAAAATATATTACATTGTACCATCTAACAAGACAAAGACCTACCACTTTCAATTTGGCCGCTTCCGCCTTCAACAGCTCAAAATCCTCCAATCCTAGTTCCTGCAGCTGAGCAGAGAGGTCCTGCTTGGCTACCTGGGGAGGTATGATGGAACTGTGAGCTATCCCAATAAAAACGAACAGGATGAGAACCTTCATTTTGCCCGACTATAACTTGGAACAATACTGAATCCATCACAGAACGCGCTTTAATTTATATTTTTTTTCTAATCGGAACGTTATCCTTTCAATCTTAGGACGTGGCGCATGATTTGATAAAGGTTATGATCGTAATCGATTTTTCACACAACGCTAAAGCTCCTTAAAGTGGAAAACAATAAGTTTGAAGATTTAAAGTAAACATTTGGTTTAGATTTGGTTATCGATAGAAACTACTGTTTTAGTTGGAGATAGTTATATAGGTACTTTTGTAGTTTTATTATTCTTAATAAATTTTCATAAATTAAAAATTAATAACTCTTAAGCACTGAAATAACTCAGTCCTTTATTCTAATGGATTTTTCAGAGATCTTATACAAGTTAAAGTTTAACTTTGATAAATGTCATGCACTAAATTAAAATATTTTGCATTGTATTCAAATAAATACAAGATTTGCCGAGAAAAAATGTATGTAATCTTGAAATGTCGCCAAGAATTGACAGACAAAAGCTTTTGATGACTAAGACCAAAGAGATAGAGATACTTAACAAATGTTTCTTATTACGTTTTTTTTTCCGATTCAACATGTATCTACATAAAATAACTAAATTTTACATACGTTGCTTTCCAGAGTACCGTTTTAATAAAATGTTAGTGTTAGTGCATGGTAAGATTTTTAATGAATTAAGAACTCTTCTGTTTATTATCTTATAATCTAATAGTTGTCTCTGGCATTATTAATTTTTTTGAGTGCTAAAATTAACTGGACTATAATTTTGTAATAACATAATCCCACTATTGTTCGATATTTCGAAAATATCCAACAATTAACTATATTTATGTAATTTTTGTGTACAGAAATACCATGAACCATTGAGATAAGAAGATATTTCAAAGTTCAAAGTTTGATATACTTGTTTTGGACATAATTTTAGAATCTGAAGTGCTGGAAATTAATATTGGTGTTGATCACAAAATAGGAAGACGGCTAAGTAAATTATTTAAGTTAGGATTGTATTATTTCAATGGAAAATAACGATAGAAAATTCGAGACGTTCAGATTTACTTAAATTTTCTTTATAATAGATTTGTTACCACATTAGTTGCAGTATAATTCTAAAAATATATGGCATGAGAGAATCATGGGCGCAGGTAGCTAGGGGGGAGCAGGTGTGTGTACGGCCCACCCCAGAAAATCCGGTGCCCACCCCAGAAAAAAGATCGTTTATCATATCAGCATATCGGTAAATCGCTGACTTCGTGACCTTTTTTTTTAGAACTTTCATATGAATTAGATTTTGTGGAATTAACACTTTTTACATTTGACCCAGTATTGATTATAATATTGCTATTCCAATTAGTTTCGAAAATTAGCGTTACCTAGAAAATTGCTCCCTATTTTTGAAAAAAAACTATAGAAACGACTATTTATAGGTAAACTGTTTAAGGTATCATAAAAAAACACGTGTTTCAGTTTAAACACGCTCCCTAATAATTCTCGGGATTTAAACGCACTGAAACTTTAGAATACTCCGGGGAAAAAGTCCGGGCGACAACTCAGGGCGAAACTCCGGGGAAAGAGTCCGGAAGAGTACTCCGGGGAAAATCTCCGGTGCTTGGTAACTGATTTAATATACGTTAAAAAAGCAAAAATAAATAAAAAATGGTCCGTTTTTTAATAAAATAGGATTTTTTTCTTAGAATCATCACAATGAGTTACAAGCAGACTTCAAATTTAGTAAATGTTTAATTTTAATCAGACAAATCGTTAAATAAAATTTAATCAAAATCGTAAATATTTTATAAAATATGTTTTTTCAAATATCAACACTAAAAAATCCTATATAAAATCGAAACATAAACCGAATATCCTGTATAAAAATAGTATAATGGCTATAAAACGCTCTGTAGAAAGATAATATAATGGCTATAAAACATTTTAATTCATGAATTAGATTTTATGGAATTAATACTTTTTACATTTGACTCTATACTGATTATAATCATGGGCGTAGCTAAGGGGGACGGCAGGGGTGTGTACGGCCCACCCCAGAAAAAAATATCTAATATTATCGTCTATCATATCGGCATATCGGTAAGTCGCTGACTGCGTGACCTTTTTTTTAGAATGAAATCAAAACGTGTTCAGGTTTTTAAAATTTTATTCGGCAAGTTGCTGATTGCGAAACTTTTTTTTTGGAGCCCACCCCAGCAAAAATTCTGGTTACGCCCATGGAGAGAATTATACAAAATAAAATTCAGGTTATTTATTTCTGACATGTATATTTCGCAAAAATATTACTAACATTAGTAAATGATATGTAAATAACTAACAATTAGTTGCTCTACTATTTTTTTATATAAATACTTGTACCACTGTTGGTTCTGATAAAAACAGTATGATAATCTATCTTTATTTTAACTTATAAAAAATAAGCAAGTTGTAAATAAATGTATTACATGAGATACTTCGATATTCACCTGCAGTACAATGCAGGTCCACCAGTATTTTCATTGTCTGCATTATAAATTATCTGAAATTGTGACAAATATCGAGACATCATTTTGGTCACTTTATTATCAGTAAATAAGTATTTCGTTATAAAAAACATAATTATTCATTAAATGTATTTAGCGTTGTATTTTAAAAACTGATTGTTTAATGATAAAGATTTGATTGTCGATAAAACATATTATCTACTTTTGATTAAAATTAACAATTTAATGGGCAGATGTTTATCTGACTTTTAGCATACGTCTAATTGTAAGAGAATTTTGCGAAATTGGTGCTATTTGTCTGAGAAAGAGTGGTTGAGGAAAATGATTCTCTGGTTAGATAATTAAGTAATAGATAAGCTAGAATCTCTGTATAAATGTTTTTTTTTAAATTTAATATAGATTTTACTTAACCATTTAACAAGTTATTTATCAATGTCAATTTCAGTTCTACTTCTATTTCAAGATCTTCAACATATATATAGTAGTAAAAGATCCCTAGATATCTTATAAAGCATATATCGTATATCTCTTAGCCATTTACTAGATATTGAGGATGTAATTCAATTTTTAGACTACTTTTAAAATAATACAGTTTTTAATTAATCGGATATTTCTGCCATCATTAAAGAATAATTATTTAATTTCACTAAATGTGACATATTTCCAGTTAAGTAGAACCAAGTTTATAAAATCGACCTTTTGACTGATCGTTTTGGTGCTAGGGGTTGTTTCATTTTAATAAAAACTGTTCGTATAATTCATTTCGGTTTTATATACACAATAATTTCCATGTATTTTACGGCTTGGTTTTTAACAAAACGGGAAAGTATCTAAATCAAATATTTTATTTTATGTTATAAACATTTCTCAAATCATAACAAAACTATATAAATATTGAAATTGGTATAAAATGGCCAATGAATTTAATATGCAACGATATTTTTTGTTTGCATTCGGAAAACATATCTAGTATGTTATTGTTATGCATTTTCGTATAATGATTAAATTATTTTATCGACATTTTAATTTACTTTGCACGCAAACTGACAAATACAATGAAAACAGAATGGAAAAAATTTTTTAAATATTAATTTCAAATTTCCTTTAAACCACAGTCATTTTGTAGTTTCCTAACATTATTAGAATCATAGTGTATTTATTTTCTAACAGATGGCGCTCGGTTCTATGTTCTATAATGGAAAAAGAATTGAAATTAGTTTGGTTATGTTCTAATTGTTCTATAATATTTAAAATTTATGTCAACAAATTAGAAAATAATAACTGCAAATTGTCCATAAAACTAAGAAATAAGTGGTTGTGATAGGTTTGAGCAATTTTTATGTATAACTAAATTTTAAAATTGCTTGCAGGTCCCTGTTGGATGCCCTTCGTAGGAAATATACCAGAGCTCCCCAACTTATCCCGAGCTCTAGCCGGTCAGCACTTGGTTCTAGTGGAACTAGCGAAAAGATACAAAGTAAATGTACTGGGTTTGAAATTAGGCAAAGATGTGTGGTAGCAGTATTTTCTTATCCCATGATAAGGACTGTTCGCCATGGGGACGAATACGATGGAAGACCCAACAATTTTTTCATCAGATTATGAACCATGGAAACTAGACGAGGTACACATAGTAAAAGCATATTTGACAAAGATTTTTTATGTATGATCATTTTTTTTAAGGTGTAACTTGTAAAGACGGGGAGCTGTGGAAGATACAGAGAGGAAGTAGGATAGACTGGAAAGATCCCCTATTAAATCGTCTGTTGGAGCTTTTAGGCATGAGGTCGAAGGCTTTTGATATGTCGGGAAAAACTTTGACGCACTTTGTTGGTTGCAATTGATAGCGACCGAAAAAACCAGATATAATTTGATTAAGAAATTGAACTGCGAATTGAGAGACCTTCTCATGGAAACTGTGACGCAACGTCAGAAGACATGGACCTTAGGGGCGAATGAGGAGCATGAGGACCTTATTTATTCTTTCATAACGGAGATGAAGAAGATCAATGGCCACAAAAGCACGTTTAAAGGTAAATATTTTTTGTAAATGACAAATATTGCATTTTATTATTATAAGCAGCATATTCCTTCGCCAGATTTAAGAATATTTTCTCATAAAAACATTTATCCTTGAAACTCAGATACAGGATACAGGGTGTTGAAGTTTTTCCATTCTTGAATATAAAAGTGATATTTCAAATTTTAGAATAAAAACTAGCAAATTCAGTATCTTCATTTGTTCAAAATTTATTTTTCACAATTTTAGCAACTGTTAATGCTGTTAAATTTAGATAAGCATGTTTCTTAGCAAATTTTTGTTTCTTGTCTTAGAAGAGGAGTTGGTTATGGTTTGTCTGGATACGTCTCTGCTTATCAAAACGAGGAGCGTTCCTTATGTTGAAGCAGTATTATTAGAAGAGGTTTTATCATGTGGCTTCAATTACCGGGCCCAGGAGGGTGCTGCGGGTCACGACTTTGGAAGGGTACAATATTTCCCAGGTAAGAATTTTTAAGTGTTGTTAATGTTTCTGATAAAACGATAAATCGAAAATAACTCCAAAACTTACAAAAAAATAATTATAGAAATTTTTTGTTAAGAGTTTTAAAAATAATTTTAATTTTATAGGGGGTTACCATCTTCCAGAAAGTCAAAAATTCCTAACCGTTGGTTATTTTTGTATTTTTCATAATTTAATTAAAGTTCCTGTTAATTTTTTTTATGACACAAATAGCTATGGGATTATTTTTGATCTATTTGTGGGTGCAAGTGTATAAATTTAGGAATTATTTATTTCTGTGTTTGATGACAGTGTTGTATGTTTTAGTCCAATCAAATTAGATTTGTATGTGCCAAAATTTAGTTCAGGAAACAGACACTTAGAAATTAGAAAAAATTTCATAGAATTAAATGAACTACTTTACCACAGCCGAATGTTAGGGTTTCATTTTCAAAATGGCGTCCAAAGTTCCCAAAAAACAGTTTTTTCATTTTAGAAAAAATGTGTGTAGTTCTTGGCAAGTAGAATAAGTGAATTTTGTAAAATTGCAAAATATTTAAGTTTTTGTAGGAATTGCGTTTTTCAAAAAAAAATAAATTTTTTTTTCAAGTTTCAATAAATCAAATCATACAGTAATGCACCTACAAGATCTATCTTGGGCTTAAAAATTTTGTCGAAATCCGTTTTTATTTCATATCAGTCTTGTTTGAAGTCTTATTGAAAAAAGAAGAACACTTTCTCATGACCACTTTTTCCCCTCTTTCGAATGACATAATCAATTTTTATATGTAACGTTTTGTCTTTCCAGGACCATCATTAACTTAATTTTTTTAAATACGGCCCTAGAAATTATATTATACTTTTTGCTAGCCCTCATGACTCCCAATACTGTAATGCCTCAGCACGAACCAGATTCAGATGTTTTGTATCAAAAAATTAATCTTCAGTGTATTTGTTCCAAATTTATCTAATTTTTTATTTGGATTTCTATGTTTATTGAATTATCGTACACTGCAAGTGTCGTTAGACCCTGTGAAATCCACCTAGTTATTTAAATTATTACCATCACACGTTACAATAAAACATTATTGGAGTTTTAATCTCCATCACCTGGTCATCATAATTCGATAATTTTTTGCGTCAAAATTAAAACATTATTACAATTTTAATTTCATTATGACAAATTAATTCTTAAAAATGCATATGAATAACCAAAACTCCCAATGAATATTATTGTTTAAAAACTTTCAGTAAATGCTTAAAAACATTTTCATTTTGGCACAGGTTGAAAATGAAGACCAGCATAATATTATCGGAATTTATTATATCTGTAACCGCAACTGTGAAAGAGCATGTCGGATGTATTTGTATGAATATCCTGAAAAAAATAGATCGGAATTTGTTTGAATTTTGAGTATTCGAGAAACCTAGAAATAACTATGAGCATGGGATTAAAACTCTAATAATGTTTTATTGTAACGTGTGACGGTAATAAATTAAATAACTAGATGGATTTCACAAGGTCTAATGATACTTATAGGATACGATAATTCAATAAACATAGAAATTTAAAAAAAAAATTGATTAATTTGGAACAAATACATTGAAGATGAATATTTTGAGACGAAACGTCTGAATCTGGTTCGTGCTGAGGCAATACAGAATTTTTTAGAGGCATAATGTTGGTCCGCTGATTATGCAACTTTGCCCCCATTTAAGCTACTTCGTATCTCTTAATGTTTCTGAGATCAGGGAAGAAAATCGCCCGTTTTTTCACAATTCGCAGAGAACTAAAGAAAATAGATAAAAATATATTTTTGGGCTCAAATTATTTTAATTTTTTGAAAATTAAAAAAAATCACCCCTCTTTAGATGTTGAAAAGACGCCCCAAATGAAGATTTGAATATTACAAAGAAAGATTTATTCTCATGACTGAAAGAAGCACATTGAAATAGAAAATCCACCCTTAAGCGCTCTCAGGGGGTGGAATAATTCCCAAAACTAGAAAATATAAAAAATAATTGTAAAAATTCCAAGAAAAATATATTAAGATAATTCACATGCTAATAGTTTTTATATCAATTGGTAATATTCAAATCCTTCATTTTTGGTATTTTTTTCAACCCCCAAGTAGGGTTGTTTTTTTAAATTTTGAAAATACTGAAAGCTATGCTCATTTTAGTTTTTTACGACGAGTAATTTGTGACCAAAAACATATTTTTCTGTATTTTTTTTAATTCTCTGCAAATTGTGAAAAAACAGGCTGAAATCATAGGCTTTTTGCGGTCACTCTTTGTAACAGCCTGCATTTCAAGTTCATGAAAATTCTGAAAAAAATGGAGGATCTTCAAAATCACACGACCTAAAGAGAAATTCATTTCGGTTTTGGATTTGGCAATACCATTATAGTAATTTTTTTAGAATTCAGATAATTCCGAGCCCCAAAAATTTTTGTACCGAAAAATCCAACAGTCCATTGATTTTCTCGAAAATTTTTAGGATTTTGAAAAAATCCAGGTGGACAATAATGGTCCTGACCAATTTAAAATTGCTGTCACTTCCTTTCCAACTGTACTAGTTTCTGAGATGTTTTATGTTTCTCCTTCCAGTTTCATTTAAGTTTTTGTTAGGTAGGCGACATACAGTACATACTTGTGTATACTTGGCTGCATAATAATTCCTAAAACTATACACATTATAGATTATGGGCAAATGTATCAAAACTGAACAACTCAATTGCAAATAAATCTCCCTTTATTTATAGAACAGTAATATATTTTCCTTATTTTCTATTGTAGCTAAACGGTTCACAAAAATAAGACATCGGTACAATACATCTCGCCTACGCAGATTCTTCCTTGATACCGCCAGTGTGCTCACTTTAAAGAAACAACAACAAAAAATTCAGGTATACAATAACTGTCCTGACTAATCCAAATCTGCAATCAGTTCCTCTCTAGCTCTTCCAGTTTTCGAGATTATAAATTGTGCAAAATTTTACATGAAACATGTAGAATTTATATTTAAAAAATGTACATACCGTGTCCTGGACGGGCTTCCATCCTGCGGGACAAACTTCCCCGTGCTTATCCGTGTACTGGAAGGCCTGGACGAGCCTGCGTGTCTCATCCACACTCCTACCAACGGGAAAATCCTTCATAGTTATCTGTCGGAGGTTCCCCACCGTACTCCTTTGATATACTGTGATTTAAATCGGAGAGCAACGGAAGGTTTACTTTTCCTATCCTGCCCTCCATGCGTTCCGTGGAGAGCCTGCCCAGCGGATTTGGATCCAGTAAGTAACTTTCCAACTCGAAAATTCATGTCAAACGAACAAATTACCATTATTCGATCGATGTCCAGGTACCCAGGCTTTGGTATGTGCGGGCAGCAACCACAGCTCCATATCGACTGAAGAGCCAGACCCGAGCCCTACGGACCAAATAATGGGAAGGGCCAGAGCGTTAGTGGACCATACTCTGAGTCCTTACGACAAGGAAGCGTTAAAATTTAAGGTATTACGTTAAGCTCGCCGCCGACCACGCGTTTGTATTAATTTTTTTTCCAGGCTGGTGATATAATAGATATAGTTTCAATGAACGCTAGTGGCCAATGGAGGGGGATCTGTAGGGGCAGGAAGGGTACGTTCAATTTCATCAACGTGGAACTGCTGTCAGAAAGGTTGGTGAAAATGAAGCGAGAGATCAAGTGGCGCCGGAACATCAAGAGGAAGCCCGCCTCGGTGGAGGACCTGCTGCAGAAAATCAACCTGCAGGAGTATATTTCTGTGTTTGTGCTGAATGGGTACGAGGATCTGAAATAGTTCAAGGAGATTGAACCCTCGGATTTGGATTATTTGTTTGGGGATTGTCAATGCCTTCACGACTTAGACTGTAAGTAAGATCACTTCTTAGACTTGTAAAATACCGCAGCGTCGTGCAATGGTTCTGTTTTAAAAAAAAATTGTTTGCTTGTGGTATTTCACAAAATCCTAGACAAAATGGTGTGTTGCACTTTTTAAGATTTATTGCTCATATAATATTGCGTACGATTTTTGGACCGTTTCCAAATAAAAAAAAATTACTGTTTTTAAAACATTTTTAAAATTGTGAAAATCAAGAGAATTTTCCCAACGACATTTAATGTATGTCGTATACTTTGTAGGTTATATCTCATATAGAGACCTACTAGCGAAAGGGGGTGGCTTCCGATGATGGAGAAGTATCGTTTTTGTTTACCAGTTGGATTCCCAGGTGGAAATGACGAAATGTTAGATAGATGCCAGAGTTAGTTTTTCGATATTTTCAACGGTTAAAAAGATATGGAGGGGCTTTGTGAGGGCGCATTTTAAGTCACATGACTTTTTACATTTGCGAACAGCCCGTAACTTTTTTATTTCTCGACCTATAACTTTTTTATTTCTCGACCTAGAAGGGTGCGGTTTGGTTTGCTGGAATCCTCGGACGAAATGCTAGAGGGACGCCAGAGTTAGTTTTTCGATATTTTCAACGGTTAAAAAGATATGGACGGGTTTTGTTAGGGCACGTTTTAAGTCACATGACTTTTTACATTTGCGAACAGCCCGTAACTTTTTTATTTCTCGATCTAGAAGGGCGCGGTTTGGTTTACTGGAATCCTCGAACGAAATGCTAGAGGGACGCCAGAATTAGTTTTTCGATATTTTCAACAGTTAAAAAGATATGGACGAGTTTTCTTGGGGCACGTTTTAAGTCACATAACTTTTTACATTTGCGAACAGCCCGTAACTTTTTTATTTCTTTATTTAAAAAAATGAATCAAAAGACAATCCGATAAAGAAAAGAAAAATTTCATTCGATAAATAATTTTATCAATAATTGTTGTTGTTACTTTTGTTGTAAATAAGAATTGAAATAGTTATTTGAAAAAAACTTTCCCAAAAAAAGTGTATCTTTTTCAGTCATTTTTTTATCCTTAAAATTAATAAAATTGTCAAAAATTTTCAACAGCATGATAATATCACTTTACGAAGAAAATAAACTGAAAATCGTTAATGTAGGGCTATCTGCTGAGAAGACTAGCCAATTTTCGAGAGCGCCTTTTTTTCAAAAAATCAATATATCGAAAAATAATTAATATTTTTAAATTTTTCAAAAATGTACTTTTTTGGCTTGCCGCGGGCTATGCTTGCAGTAAATAGCAAATATGGGAACGTAAATGCAAACGAGTTATAGAAGAAGAGAAAAGAGAAAATTTTTAACGGTTTTTTCAAATATATCTCGAAAAGTAACAAAGCAATCGATACTTACAAAAAATCAGTCGATAGATCTTTTTAAAACCTACAACTTTCTCATTTAAAATTTTTCAATTGATGAAATATTTTCTTAGTTATTTTAGAAAAACCGTTTTCTGCAACTTTGCGATTTTTTTTAACCATGTTCGCCATTTTGGAACGAGCAACACAATTTAAAATTTAATTTCCTATACGATCATACTTTTTTGTCCAGGTAATAAATTCTGCAAACTTAACATTAGGCCGTGATAGAATGCAGAATATACTGTATTTCATTTTCGTCCTTTATGAATTAGTGATAATTTTTGTATTTACATATGTTAGAAAAAAGTAAAACATTTATTTTATTAATATTTAATATGTAATTTCTTGCATTTCAACTGGTTTTTCCTGAAATTTCTCCTTGTGACAGTCAATTTTTTATTCCTCGTATTAAATTTACCAAAATTCGTATTGGATAATTATTTGTTTTCTTGTACTATAGGCCACAACTGGTAGCACCTCAGCGCCGATCTGTTACGGGGCGGAAATCACCGAAGGAAAGAGGTGAGCCTGAAACGGCGACATATTCAGCGGCGATCGTTAAATTTGCCCCGATTCGGAACCCAGACATTGAAAAACGCTCAGGGGGAGAGCGAGAAGATCAAGATGATAAGCACGGCCAAAGCCTCGGCGATCGGCAGCATCGGCAAAGCAGACGCAGAGAGGACGAGACAGAAAAACCTCATCTACGAGCAGTACGCCGACGCTGCCTTTATGGCCATCGTTCTGGAGGCTCTTCCAAAGGTAAGACGAACATTTCGACTATACTATCGTTCCGATAATCAAAATATGTTGTGTTCTTTTAGATTGCCGCCTTGCCAAGACGGATTAGATCGTGCTGATAGGCATCAAGACAATACGATTGCAGGGATATCCTGATTAGTGGGACAGAACCGCCAGCCGTCAGTGCATTAACAGGAGTAGATCTGTCCAAGGTTCTTGGTACAACCTTGGGGGCCAAATCAGCTGCGATTTCGTGTTCATATTTTCTCTCCCTCTCTGCTAACGTGTATCCTAGATGTGAAATTTGTTGTATTGTACCCGTCTGTGAGTGGTTATTTTAATAAATGCATACGCAAATTATTTGGTCTCCTTATTCACCAGCAACAAGCAAGATTTAAAGAGTTACCGCAAAATCCGCCTGTTTTTGAGACAATAGTTGTAAAATTTAGGGGATGATTTCACCCCTTTGGGGTGGGTGATGGGTTGATTTTCAATCCGGACAAGACCGTATCAAATACGAAATTAGATATTTTCACGTTTATAATATTATTTTGATAACAACATAGAAATATTTTAGACCAGGGTCGATAATTTTTGAAACCAAAAAAAATTATACTAGGATGAAACCCATTGGAAAAAAAGAGAATATAACAGAAATGAAAGGAAAAATAATTTACGGGCGATCTGAGGTCGGGAAGGGGAAGGGGGTGAGTTTTTAAGGGTAAAAAACGGTTTCCCTTGATTTCCGGAAAAACTACAAGTCTTATGGAAAAAAGTTAAATGGCAAAGTTGTAGGTAATAAAAAGATCTACAACTTTTGTATTTACACTTTTTTCACATAACCTCAAAATTTATGTGAAAAATTCAAATAACCAAGTTTTTGGTTTTTTATTTTTATCTTTTACAAAAATAGCTATTTTCTACAAAACTGTTAAAAGTGGTCTTTTTAATTGTCATTTTTGATGTTAAACATGTCATTTTTTGACACGCGTGTAAAAAGTAAGTTACTTTTAACACTAGTGTTTAACAGTTTTGTAGAAAAAATAGTGTATGATATACGTGTTAAAAGTGATTTTATTTTGTTCGTGAAGTTAAAAAACGCGCTACGCTCGTTTTTTAATCATCTTCACTCACAAAATAAAATTTACTTTTAACACCTATATCAATTATATCATAAATAGCTATTTTTGTAAAAGATAAAAATAAAAAACCAAAAACTTGGTTATTTGAATTTTTCACATAAATTTTGAGGTTATGTGAAAATTCGCTACGCTTGTTTTTTAATCATCTTCACCCACAAAATAAAATCTTACTTTTAACACGTATATCATAATTTTTTTCACGAATTTTGGTGAAAACTTACCTATTTATGTCCCAAACACGCTGTGATTTTTTTGATTTGAAATATTTATGTTTTCACCTTATTTTTACTTAATATCGAAAAAGCACCCTAATTTTCAATCGAAAATTCTCACGTCAAAATATCTGCTTTTTTAAAAACGTCGGTGGGCTTTTTCTTCGTTGAAATCTCTACTTTCTGATGGTGTAAAAAGAAATATACATTACTATGGTAAGTTTTCTCAGGAAATGCAAAGAAACGAAAAAAACTAGATCCGAAATTTTTTTTCTAATCATTATGTACAATTTTGAGCTATTTATTAAAATTTACACTTTAATTACTCGAAAAACGTAAGATTCCATGTTACATTGCGAAACAAAAAAATTACAAGTCGAAATATACTATATTATAATTAACAACCAAATTATTTAATAAAGTTAATAGTTAATAAGATAATTTACAATATTTTGAGAAAGTTGTAGAATCTTCTTTCGTTTCTTTGCATTTCCTGAGAAAACTTACCATAGTAATGTATATTTTTTTTTACACCATCAGAAAGTAGAGATTTCAACGAAGAAAAGGCCCACCGACGTTTTTAAAAAAGCAGATATTTTGACGTGAGAATTTTCGATTGAAAATTAGGGTGCTTTTTCGATATAAAGTAAAAATATGGTGAAAACATAAATATTTCAAATCAAAAAAATTACAGTGTGTTTGGGACATAAATAGGTAAGTTTTCACCAAATTTCGTGAAAAAAATTATGATATACGTGTTAAAAGTAAGATTTTATTTTGTAGGTGAAGATGATTAAAAAACGAGCGTAGCGAATTTTCACATAACCTCAAAATTTATGTGAAAAATTCAAATAACCAAGTTTTTGGTTTTTTATTTTTATCTTTTACGAAAATAGCTATTTATGATATACGTGTTAAAAGTAAGATTTTATTTTGTGAGTGAAGATGATTAAAAAACGAGCGTAGCGAGTTTTTTAACTTCACGAACAAAATAAAATCACTTTTAACACGTGTATCATACACTATTTTTTCTACAAAACTGTTAAAAGTGGGCTTTTTAATTGTCATTTTTTGCATGTCCTGAGAAAACTTACAATAGTAATGTATATATTTATTTACACCATAAGAAAGTAGAGATTTCAACGAAGAAAAAGCCCACCGACGTTTTTAAAAAAGCAGATATTTTGACGTGAGAATTTTCGATTGAAAATTAGGGTGCTTTTTCGATATTAAGTAAAAATAAGGTGAAAAAATAAATATTTCAAAACAAAAAAATTACAGCGTGTTTGGGACATAAATAGGCAAGTTTTCACCAAATTTCGTGAAAAAAAAAAATTTTTTGTAAAAGATAAAAATAAAAAACCAAAAACTTGGTTATTTGAATTTTTCACATAAATTTTGAGGTTATGTGAAAAAAGTGTAAATACAAAAGTTGTAGATCTTTTTATTACCTACAACTTTGCCATTTAACTTTTTCCCATAAGACTTGTAGTTTTTCTGGAAATCAAGGGAAACCGTTTTTACCCTTAAAAACTCACCCCCTTCCCCTTCCCGACCTCAGATCGCCCGTAAATTATTTTTCTTTTCATTTCTTTTATATTCTCTTCCTTTTCCAATGGGTTTCATCCTACTATAATTTTTTTTCACTTTTTACCATTTTTGAAGGCTTAAGCACTGGTCTATTTGGGGTTTTACAACCGTTGACGATTCTTAATTTGTTCACTTTTTATATCTTTTCAACCCCTAAATAAGGGTGATTTTCGAAAAACCGAGTGATGCTCATTTTCATTTTTCATGAGTGTTTGGATATTTTTAGGATTTTCTCTGTCCCCCTGTCAAAGTCTCAAAAACAGGCGAAAAAATGCAAAATCTGTGAATTTTAACTTTTATTTGGGTCTAATTTGTTCGTGTACATGAAACTTGTACCTTGGTCTAAAAACCATAATAAAGTTAACATTATCGATCAGGATCACAGAAGGTTGAGAAGGTATTTTGCCGCTTTTAATATTTAAAAGGAGATACGAGGAAAAACTGATTTTAACTTTTGATAATTATAATTTTCACAAAAATTTTTAGAACTGGGAAAAATCTGAAAAAATTCCTATGAACTATAACAAAAAAAAAAAATGCTCAATAAGTTACCATGATTTTATTAGAACACTAAAAATATGATTAATGAGAGGAAGTAATACAAAAGATTTGTAAAAGCACATTCAAAATTTGTTACCAGCTACATTTTAATAAATAAATACAAAAAAATCAACGTCCGGGTCCGTCGTTGGGTTGACGGACGTCGTCGATTTTCAGGATCATCTTGACCAGCTGGGTGGCAAGCAGCAGCTGCTGCCTCTTCGACCTGAGGGATTCGATGACGTGCTGGTCACGCATGTTTATGTTGCCGGTCGCCATGCAGTCGATGCCCAGAGCCGGGTCTCCAGACGAAGACTGTTTAGCCTAGAGTAAAACATTCATAATAAACCATTACGAAAAGCTATTTACGAGGAGTTAAAGGGTGCTGCTTGGTTCACAGGGGTTTTATGACATGCGGAATCTGATAGTGCTACCTACGCTTTTTGGTGGGGAATCCCCTTAAGACAATTTTTTGTGGGCCCCCATGTCTGGAGCCAAAAAAATTTCGTAAAATGCAATATTTTCGAGAAAAATGTCAAAACGGTATCGAATGCATATCGTATTTGACATTTTTCTCGAAATCGTCGCGTTTTACAAAAAGATATCAAGAGACAAAGAACATTTCTAAATTCGATGGCTTTGTAGCGAACTAATAATTTTCAAGTAATTCAAATATGCGACCAAATTTTTTTTGGCTCCAAAGACAAGGAGGTCCAAGAAAAAGAGTCTTAAGGGGGTTCCCCGTCAAAAAGCGTAGCACTATCAGATTCCACATGTCATGAAACCCCTGGGTACCAAATTTAGTGATTCTCGTACAATAGGGTGCCGAGATATAAAAAAAACTATTAGGGTCGGATTTCAGGGGGCTGTAACTCGGAAAAAGGGGGCCACTTGGCAAAAATAAAAAAAAGTAAGATGTTTCAGAGTTTGAGGCTAGGGGAGAATTTGCCCAGGAAAATATGTAAAAAAAGTTCATATGAACATATGTCCTTGAGTGCTTCGTTTCCGAGATACAGGATATTGATTTATTTTTAAGAAAAACGGTTTAGCCGATTCCAATGAAATTTTTACGGTTTCTTATATTAAAACAATTATCCTACATCAATTGGACCAATTGGATTTGATTTAGAATTTTTAGGAGCGTACCCAGCGAGCAAGTTTGTTTTTTTTTGTAGAAAAGAATATCATCCTTAGCGTTTTTGCGGTTTTTATGTATTATTCAGATAAACCCACTAAAAATAGTACATTGGTGTCTCTTGATTCGTTTTAGTGTCTCGCTTTGTTTTCGAGAACTTACAAAAAAAACGACTTGCTTGCTGGGTACGCTCCCGAAAATTCTGAATCGAATCTAATTGGTTCAGTTGATGTATGATAATTGTTTTAATAAACCGTAAAAATTTGGTTCAATTTAAAAAAATTAAATTAACACCCTGTTGTCTCATACGAACTTTTTTACATATTTTGCTGAGCGGAATCTCCGCTTTTGTCACTTCAACTCTGAAACACCCAGTATTTTCCTTGAAAACAACTGAAGATAATACAAAAACCAGACTAAACTTTCCCGAAGGTTCTCGATAGGCTGAATCCTTACATTTTATTCAGCACAAAGCGAAAAATACGAGTTTTCGCTATATCTAAGGTTATGTTACATCACGAGGTTACTAATTAATTATACGCCAAACGCCAAACTAATGAAATTCAACAGACGATTTGTCGAGGAGGAAAAAAGGTATTCGAACGTATCATACTAGATTTTGAAGAACAAGAGTAGAGCTTTCAGATGCCAGAACCAGTTTTGTGGAGAAATATTACCTCGTAATATAACATAACCTTAAATATAACGAAAAATCTTGTTTTTCGTTCATTTCCGTTAGGATCCCTCGAAAACCTGATGTGGTAGAGCAATTCTGATGACGGATTTGCATTCAGCACATCGAAAACCTTCAGAAAAGTACACGTTGCCATACAATTTTGCCGATCTGTACAATTAAACGGAGACAATTTTCACGTAATTGATATTACGCAAATTTCCCTTTTTTATTTTCTTAAATTTGATTCATTGTGCACAATAACTTTAGAAAAAAAAAACAGAAATTTTAATAAACAACAAAGTTTTTTCAGCAACTTCAAAAGGGGTGTTTGAGAAAAAAAATTAATGTCATCACATGATATGAACATACAGGGTGTTTCATAGCTCTACCGATACAGAGCAGGTACGTGTAAAGGATCCTAAAATATGCCGATGTGTTATGTAATATTTTTTTCTTGGATGTATAGCAAATAGGCAACCAGCAATACATTATTATAGATTTTATTACAATTTTTCTAAATATGAATTAATGCACAAATAACACACTTTCCCCCCATTTTAACGCATATTTTCTATAAAGTGGACTTAGTTTGAAACTAAAATTTCTTTTTGCTGTACAGAAATTTGTAATCTGCCGGTTTTGAACAAGCACCATCGTAAATTACAAAGAGTGACCACAAAAATTGCCCGTTTTTTCACAATTCGCAGAGAACTAAAGATAATAGATAAAAATATGTTTTTGGTCTAAAATTACTCTTCGTAAAAAATTAAGATGAGCATAGCTTTTAGTTTTTTGAAAATTTTCAAAAATCACCCCTATTTAGGGGTTCAAAAGACGCCTGCCCAAAATGAATAATTGAATATTACCAATAAATATAAAAACTATTAGCATGTGAATTTTTCTATCAAACGATCCTCGATACAAAGATTTATTCTCATGACTGAAATAAGCATGTTGAATTAGAAAATCCACCCTTAAGCGCGCTCAGGGGGTGGAATCATCTCCAAAAATAGAGAATATCAGAAATAATTGTAAAAATTCCAAAAAAATATATATTACGATAATTCACATGCTAATAGTTTTTATATCAATTGGTAATATTCAAAATCTTCATTTTTGGCATTTTTTCAACCCCTAAGCAGGGGTGATTTTTTAAATTTTCAAAATACTAACAGCTGTGCTCATTTCAGTTTTTTACGACAAGTAATTTACGACCAAAAACATATTTTTATGTATTTTTTTAAAATTCTCTGCGAATTGTGAAAAAACGGGCGCAAAATCACAGGTATTTTGCGGTCACTCTTTGGTACAAAATTTGCGTTTGTTATTTTTAATTGGTAAAAACATGAATTTGTTGGAAGCCCAATAAAAGCCCTCAAAATGATATCGATTTTTTTTATAGTATGTCAATTATTAAATAGTTTTCCAAGTATTACAGGAAATTTAGTTTTAAAAAATATTTAACTCTTACAAATTTTTCGAAAAAACAACGGTTTTTCGGGAAAATCGGGATTTTTGTGAAACAGCGCCATTACTGTGGTGGCTATTTTCAACAGTTATTGTAGTGCTATTTAATGATACTGGTAGTTCATGTGGTTAAAGTTGAATTTATTAATGTTTAGCGACAAAAATGACACATGAAATCATAGCCCACTAGTCGTAAACTGCATACTTTACTTTTTGTCCGATTCAGTTAGTAATAACGCTGTTTCACAAAATCCCGATTTTCTCACACCTTTATTTTTTCAAAAATTTTTTAAATAAAATTTTTTAAATTAAATTTCCTGTAATACTTGGAAAAAGTATTTAATAATTGCATATGATAAAAAAAATCAATATCATTTTAAGGGCAGCCTACCCCTAGTCCGGCCCTTATTGGGCTTACAACAAATTCATATTTTTACCAATTAAAATTAAAAATAAACTCAAATCATGTTTGGTTGCTCTAAAAGCAAATAGCAAATAGGCAACCAGCAATACATTTCTATAGATTTTCTTACACAGCTAGTCTAAATATGAATTAATGCATGAATAACAGACTTTCCTCTATTCTAACGCATATTTTCTATAAAATGAAGTTAGTTTGAAACTCAAATTACTTTTTGTTGTAAAGAAATTTGTAATTTACGATATTCAAAAGCGGCAAATTACAAATTTCTTTACAACAAAAAGTAATTGGAGTTTCAAACTAAGTCCATTTTATAGAAAACCTGCGTTAGAATGGAGGAAAGTCCGTTATTTGTGCATTAATTCATATTTAGACTAACTGTGTAATAAAGTCTATAAAAGCGTATTGCTGGTTGCCTATTTGCTATAGAGCCCTCTTCAGAGGCCAATATCTCTTCAATGGTACATTCCAGAAAAAAAATGTTCATACAAATCGGCATATTTTAAGACCCCCTACATGTGCCTGCTCTGTGTCGGTAGAGTTATGAAACACCCTGTATAAATATTTTTTTCATATTTTACATTTGAATTATGGCTTTAAAAAGTATAACATCATGGTAGAATTTAATTATTACCTTCAGTTGTTTTTCAAAAAATAAAAATTTTTTCATTCACAGATTATCCTCCAATACAATGAAAAAATGCAAATTTGGAAAATATACAAATTACGTTATACTTAAAACGTGCCTATAAATTACCGAAATTTTATTTAACCAATCACAGAAGTGTATATAGAGGATGTGCCAACGACTACTTACCTTTACTTCCCCGAGAACATGGATTGCAGATAGACCGCTATTCTCGGCCAGAGCCAACGGAACGCTCTCCAAGGCTTCGGCGAACGCCCTGTACGCGTACTGCTCTAGAGAAGCCAACTGATCGGCCTGCGCCGCAACGGCCAAACTGCAAGCGACTTCTGCTGCGCCGCCTCCATACACGACTCTAGGCTCCTAAAACGAAACATATTTTTTACAACCAATTAATTACATTTAAACATAGACACATGAAACTCACGTCAATTACCACGATAAAAAAAATCGGTTAAAAGAATAAGACTTTTCCTTTGAACAAATATCAAGGTGAACTTAGGGGGTCTGCCCCCACAGAGCCTAGCCCGAGAACAACAATCGCATGATTGGATTTAGACAGTAAAAATCAAGTAATGATCTTTTTTTAATAAACAAAACACAGATCCCTCTCAAACGGCAGATTATGTGAGGGAGTGCGCAACGACTTTGCAAAGGCTTGTAACATGGTTAATCATCAAATATTTTAATCAAAGTTGTACGATCAGAATGATAAAATTCTAAATGACAGATAGAATAAAAACTATGTTGGAATTTAGAATAAAAATTTATATTATTTCCTAGAAATTTTGTGTAGAATCAATAAAATCTTTTTCAATTCAAAATCCCAAAATTTTTTTATTTCGTCCACACATTTTGAATTCTGTTTTATGAAGAACTTTTGATGTAATATAAGATCAAATGTAGCAGTTTTAAGGTTAGGTTATCTCTATTTGACGTGATGGAACAATTAATTTGTATTCTGCTCGTTGAAAATCTTCAAGAGAGTATACAGGGTGTCTCATAATTAATGTCCAATAATAATTTACCACTTGATTCTATTGCCAAAAATAAGAATATTTTTTCATATAAACAGGCCGACAAATGTTTCCTAAGGGAGCTATGCCCCCTAAATGTGATCTCAAAAAATTGATTTCTTTTTTAAAATTTCCGCAACGGGTTCAAGGAAATTATGAAATTTGACACCATGAACGCTTATTAAAAGGCCAAATAGATCAAGAAATTTTTCAAAAATTTTAGTCAGTCAAAATTTGACCCACTTTTTTGCTTGCCCAAATTTTCAAAATCAGATGCCAACATGATGATAGACCTTCCTCTACAAAAAAGGTACTCTTTATTTCTTTCAATAAAATGCTTCATTTCCAAGAAAAACGGATTTAAACGTTTCAGTACATTACCTTAATAAAATTTAAAAAAAAATGGGCACGTGCTTAGAAAAGTTTATTATGGGCATCCCATGCAGGGGAGAAGGTCTCGGTGCATTTTCTCCAAATTTTTTAATTTTATTAATGCTTTCATTTAAGTTAGACAAATTTTAGCCGACGACCCCCCAATTGAGATGCCTCTAAAATTTTTTAAAAATTTTATGAATATCTATTTCAACTTTTAATAAGCATTCATGGTGTCAAAATTCATAACTTTCCTTCAGCCCGTTTCAGAAATATTAAAAAAAAAAACAATTAAATTATTTAGGCCCCATTTACGGGGGCGTAGCTCCCTTAGGAAGCATTTCTCGACCCATGTTTATATGAAAAAATATTAATATTTTTGGCAATACAATCAAGTGGTAAATTATTGGACATTAATTATGAAACACCCTGTGTAGTCCAATGAAATTAGAGACACGTAAAAGTTAGGAAAAATTCCGTAAATTACGTAAAAATATCTGAATGTTAAGGCTCATTTTTCAAAATGGCGTCCAAAGTTCGCAAAAACAGTTTTTTCATTACAAAAAAAAAAACGAAACATTTTAGAAAAAAATGTTTTAGACGAACGTTGTACAACTTTTTATAACAAAAATTTTGAGCCCAACTTGATATCAATTTATAAATCAGTTATTGCAAAAAAAAAAAACAGCTAAATATCACATTTTTTTTAAACTTTAAAACAAAAAAAGACTTTTTAACAAAACTTACAGAATATAGTCCTTGGCAAGTAGAATAAGTGCATTTTTGAAAAATTGCAAACTATTTGATAGTTTTTGTAACAATTGAGTTTATCGAAAAAAAAAAAATGTTTATAAGTTCAATAAATCATACAATAATGTACTTGTGACGCATCTTGGGCGCATTTTCTCTAAGAGTTGTACTTTTCTCTGCAAATTGTGCGCGTATTGCAAAATAATTGGAAATACGCGAAAAATCTACCGAAACTTTGACTTGTTTTCTTGTCGAAAAATGTACATCTTTTTCTTATCGTTGAAATTTAATCGAAATGTCATTATGGCTATTTGAAAGCTGACATTTTTTCACGAATTCTCTACGACCTCATTTATTAATATTATTGTCCGAAGTTTACACATGTTGTAGCTGAATACTTTTACTTCAATTTAAAAAACTAATCTGCAATGACTGACCCCCTTTTTTACAGTAAATTTAATTTTGTTGGGCCCCGTAAAATGGTTAATCCACTCAAAATGTTGATGCACGTGATGAGAGCAAAAAAACCGAGGTATTTTCGACAATTTGACCGGCTTAATAGTTTCCAGTTTAGAGGATCAATCACATTTTGTCGGTTTGTTCAATTAAATGTCTAAAAAATAAATTTATACATTGTTCAAAGATGGCTGACAAATTCGACTTAATTGTCCTTGAAGCTTCACTTTAACTTAACATTTATCATTATTTTTTACCTGAACTAAGCTTCTGATAACGCAAATGGCATCGTGCAAGCTCCTCTTGGCCTCGGCGACCAACATCTGACTGCCGCCGCGGACCAGGATGGTCACCGCACGGGAATTAGAGCAGTGTTCGATGACCAGCATCCTGTCTTTGGTCGTACCGAAGGATAATTCTCGGACCAGGCCGGCCGTGCCCAATTTCTCGGGGCTCAGTTCCTCGAATCTCGGTACAATGCGGCCTCCGGTGGCGATGGCGATCAGCTCGATTTCCGGACCGCCTACCTAGAGGGAAACGAATAAGATAATATGAAGAAATCTTTTCATGTCGGAAGGAATTCTCACCCATCTAACGGCAGGGAGTTCCTGTTGGAGAAGTAAATGGTTCGCTTCGTCGTCGAAGCCCCATTGGCAGATGGCTAAGTTCGCGCCCGCTTTTTTGACCAATCCTACCTATGAGAACATGTCACATATAAGGTGGTGGACATATAAAAAATTTTTTTTATATACAGTACGCGCCTAAAGTATGGAATAAATTCAGTAAAAACGAAACAAATTTTTTTTGGGAAAAATCCTCTAACAGGTCGATTTTTAATTTAAAAAATACATATTTTAGCATAAAAGACGACTTTCAACCGTTATTTGTTTTCGAGTAATGACGTCATCGACATTTTTTTTAAATAGCAACCCCCTATATTTTTTGTTGATTCTGAAAGATTTTTCATTGTCGATCCGACGGTATTAAAATGTTGCCATTTTACATAGGAAAGTTTTCAAGTAAATGACGATTGAATATTAGAAAACCCAAAACAATTAAAATAAAGCAAAAACGTTATCAAATTTAGTTTTTCGAAATGCCTGAAGTTTTTTATGGATCACGTAAGTGTAAATCTTTACAAAGTGTCACTGTCATACCGACTTTCGAAGTATTGAAGTGATATAAAAATTATTGTTGAATTTAAAGTAGTATGGCACATTTAACTGTCACACAAAGAATTGAAATTTTAATTCTTATGGGGATAAGACTAGAACGCAGCAGGAAGTTTGCGATTTATTTAATGAAAAACATCCAGATCGCCGTATCAGCCAATCAACAGTCAGTAAGATAGAATCTAAATTTAGAGAAACTGGCAATGTTGTAGATATACCAAATCCTGGACGTCCAAGCGTTAGTGAAGATCACAAACAGAACATTTTGATAAGTATGGTAGATAATCCTCATAATACTTCACGATTGGTTGCATTAAACAATGAAATTAGTCAGACCACAGTGCTACGTATCCTGAGGAACGAAAAATATCATCCCTACAAAATTCAACTTGTGCAGGAACTCAATGAAGACGATCCGGACCACCGCTTACACTTTTGTGAAATTATGATGGATTTATGTCAAGTAAATAGAGATTTACACCGGCAAATACTATTTTCAGACAAGGCCACGTTTTGTCTCAATGGTACAGTGATCCATCAAACTTGCAGGTATTGGGGTCGGGAAAATCCTCATTGGATGGCAGAGACACATACCCAACACCCACAGAAATTAAATGTGTGGGCTGGAATAGTTGACAACAGAATAGTAGAGCCTTTCTTCTTTGAATGAACCCTTACAGGAGAAAGATATTTAGAGTTTTTACGAAATGACCTTGTTCCAGCGCTTGCAGTAATTTTTGCTAACGATAATGACCCTGATATTCCTGATGACACCATATGGTTTCAGCAAGATGGTGCACCTCTGCACTATGCGCGCCGTGTTCGAGATTTTCTGGACAATTGTTTTCGTAGGAGGTGGATCGGCAGACGAGGACCGAAGGAATGGCCCGCGAGATCCACAGAACTTACACCCCTGGACTATTTCTTATGGTGCTACTTAAAGTCCAAAGTGTACGTTAATACACCACATAATTTAGAAGAACTCCAAAATTGTATTATAGATGAAATAAACACAGAGTTACCCCAGAAATAATTCATAATGTGCAAGAAGAATTTCTACACAGACTTGCGTATTGTCAAGAAAAAGAATCAAGAAAAAAATAGAGGGTTGCTATTTAAAAAAAATGTCGATGACGTCATTACTCGAAAACAAATGACGGTTGAAAATTACCTTTTATGCTAAAATATGTATTTTTTAAATTAAAAATCGACCTATTCGAGGATTTTTCCCAAAATAAATTTGTTTCGTTTTTACTGAATTTATTCCATACTTTAGACGCGTACTGTATATTTTAATAATAGCTCTTATATTTTTACTTTATTATAAAAGCATTAAAATATTTCAAATAAATAAAACACGGCTGTAAAATAAATTTACTATTACAAATTTTAAATTTACCGCCAAATACGTGATAAACAGAGAACCACCTACTAACAGTCCTCTCAGCTTAAATACATAGTTCCACTCCAAAGAACAATAGATGGCTCTGGCAGTCGTATTCGGGTAGTGACAATAATTTATAGAGAAGTTTTTAGGTATAGAAAAAAAAAAAAATTAATAAAAAAAAGTGTTGCTATCAACTAGAATGCGAGCGAAATGATGACAAAATTCTATATTGAAATATTTTTAATTATTTTAAGATGAAATTCCTATCAACGTAGAAAAAAAATGTTAAAAAAAAAAAATGAAAAAAAGAGAACTCTTACAGCTGTCATACTGGGTATTTTTATATCATGATCTCATTTTTATGTTCGGTGTTAATATTTTAATATAATATGAATATTTTTATGTATTCCAAATAATAACACAGCTATCGTTACTTTGCTACACTAACCACACGCATTAGAAAACTTAAATTACGAATACATTATCAAAAGATGCTATAAAACACATTTTCACTTACTATTTCCTTAAACTTATCCTGTTCGTACTGCCTCAACTGCTTGTAATCTTCCACACTGGTAACGTCCAACTTATGCTTAGTCTTTGGTTTCGGTGGCTCGAACGGGCAGGTCAAAATCGCTATTTTCACGTCTTTCAACTCTTTAGGCATCTGAGGATGAGACATAGTTTTGTCAATAACCACGCCTTTTACTAGTACCGTGTCTTCTAACCTTCCGCCGACCTAAAAAAAATAGTTTCGTTAACTTTTATCCCAGAGAAGTATAAAAAATTTTCACAAACCTTTCCCTCCACTTTAATCAGTTCAAAGTTAACGTCTTTATGTTCCAAATCGGCCACTGCCAGAACGGCATTAACAGCTATTTCTGCCATTTGACGGTGGCATTTATTGATGATCTTCGATCCTAAAGTGGTCATAGCGACTTTAATTAGAGGTTCGGTGTTTTCCGCGGATACCGGAAATAGTTCCGCAATTTTTTCTAAATGTTTTACTGCTGTCTGGCAGGCTAATTCGAAACCATCTGCAATTCTAATCGGGTGGATCCCACGATCTAAAAGAGATCCCGCCTGTTCCAACAGAGCTCCTGCTAAGACAACTACACCAGTTGTTCCATCGCCTAAAACAATTTTGTTAAATAAATTTGTTTAACGCGTAAAATAAAGTGCGTACCTATTTCGTCGTCTTGCGACTGAGACAATTGTACTAATAACTTTGCTATTTCATGATCAACGTCCATCATTTTTAAAATGGTAGCCCCATCATTTGTAACAGTAACTTCGCCTAAAATTAGGAATAAAAATCAAGATATATACATAGTTTCTCCTGTACTATCGACATACCATCTGGAGAGACCATCATTTTATCTAATCCTTTGGGGCCTAAAGAAGTTCGGATTATATTGGCAATTTGACGAGCAGCCAGAATATGAGACTAAAACATAAATTTTTACTTCATTTTCATTTGCTTCTTCATATATCCGACTACTATGAGAAGCACAAATACGTTTTTTATTAAAAACAGGTAACATTTGAAAACACATGACAATGACCGACAATTTCCATAATTGGTAATTATCCATTATAACCTTACCTTTAAGGCATCGATTCCTGTTAACCTTTTTTGTTTGTCCTGGTCTCGCAGAATTATGAAAGGCCTTCCATATTCATCGAAAGCTATGCTTCCTGGGAAGCTCGTCATTTTGATAGACCGGTATTATTTTACTGCAACAAAGATGATTCTAGATTTAGTATTCAGGATCAAAATCACAAAACCGGCCACAGCCTAAACAACAACTTAACAGCGCATGCGTCGATTAGTACATTTGAACTAAAACATATGCGGAAAAATCGATGGGCTCTTATTTAATAACAAAATTTTTATAAACGTAAATTATTAAATGTGCAATATGTATGTGAAAACCATCATTATATTATATTATAGTTAATAAAACATTTCATAACACTGCAAAAAGGTGATTGGCTTTAAAGTGTGATTGATTCAAACTACTATAATATGAAAGCGAATATAACACTTTTACGTTTACGAGATATGAAACTATTCCTCTTGGATAAAGTAAATAGAATTAATAGAATAAATACATACGTTGTGTAATAGTAATTTTATAAAAGTTTCAAGTTACAATTTCATATTTGAAGCATTTGACTTTTGACCTACTTTCATGGAGGCCATCCTCATCTTCTTCTGAGCAGCACTATCAATTCAATTTTAAAAGATTTTGACTTCTGCCTGTTGCCTGTTGGCAGTTTTGTTTTGTCACCAACTTTTGCAGTTCCAGGAAAAAAAGGTTATTTTGTTACAGTATTTTTTATAAAATCATCACGTTTTGTTGTGGAAAAGTGTCTGAGTATTAGGAACATGGCTGAAGCAATGAAGCAAACTGTAGCTTCTATGCTCAAAGGTATAGAAAGGTATGGAAAATGAAAATATTAAATGTGTCGTGAACCTAACCTAACTTTACCTTCAGGTACAACCCAGATAATTTACCAACACTGGAACGATACGTTGAGGTTCAGTCTCGAGAAAATGCTTATGATCTTGAAGCAAACTTGGCTGTTTTGAAATTATATCAGTTTAACCCTCTCAATTTTAATACTGATATAACTAGCCAGATCTTGCTCAAGGCTCTGACTAATTTGCCTCACACGGATTTCATTTTGTGTAAATGCCTGCTAAATGAAAAGCAGCTGTCTGAAGATCCGATTAATCAGATCGTTTATCTAGCCGATATCCTAGAACAGTGCGATTTCGAAGTTTTTTGGACAAGGATTCATTCCTTGCCTGAGCTCACTCAACGTATTACCGGTTTCGTGGATTGGATCAGGAAATTCGTCTGTCACGTTGTTGGAATTACTTATCAAACTATCGAACGCACTCACTTAGCTCAACTTTTGGGCGATGTAGACGATAGCACCCTTAAATTGTGGATAAAAAAGTATGGATGGAAGGAAACCGGTTCTTTAGTATTCATCGCCAATCAGGACGAAAACATTAAAACGAAGAATATTAATGAGAAAATTGATTTTGAAAATGTGGGCGCTATCATGGCGTCTTGTCGCTAATAATAAACTTTGTGTTAAGAAACGGATTGATCTTTGAATTTGTTTTATTTTTTACATGTTAAGTGGAATCCTTCCATTATATTTATAATGGGGTAGTTTCCTTTAAATTCTAAGAGAGTGGAAATATTAATTTCTTAAAAATGTATATTTTTTTAATATATTTGTGGCGAAGGAAGTAAAGTTATATTGATAATTTTTTTTATTTTAATATGAAATTTTCATTCAACGTCATAACACATTTTAATTTTTGTAGACAACTTAAATGTCAAAATAAAGAAAGAAAAAATACCAGTCTCATGATTTGTAACCTATTTTCAATCTTCAAAATAGGTAATAAGTTGGACATATTTGCAACAATAAGTGTCGGGTTTAAATTTGTGGTAACTAAAAGGCAAATAATAATAATTTTTTATTAAAAAAATGTGTACATTCTCCAATAAAGTTTTTGCTATAAACTTATAATTGTAAAAACTATTTTTCATACTTCAATTTGGTTAAATATGTTTACCACAAGAATTAATGATGAGAAATTTTCTGATTAGCAGAAAACTTCTCTTTATATGTACTCAAGAATACTTTATGTGAATAATTATGCATTTCCTGATTATATAAATTTTATAAAAATAATAGTCCATTAGAAATATTTAAGCGTGCTCATTTACTCAAATTTATACATAGCGTATAAAATAATATGAAAATAATGAAAAATTCATGAAAGTTGTGAATATACTCATAACAGAAAAACTGCATAGAAAAGAGAAAAAATTAAATAAATTTACGAAGGCTGCAGAAGTTATCGTCCCATTTTAGCGATTGGTCAAAATTTTGTTAAATCAGCATAAGATATATTACTTTTAATTTTTAATAAAAAAAAACAAAATTGGGAAGCACAAAATATAGAAGTAAAATAAATTTATTCAATAAAATCTTCATTTCTTAAGTTGCGACACTAAAACACCAATTATTATAGCCACAATCACTATTCCGATTAATACTGAATACAACAACTTCTTCCTAAATCTAGTCTGGTATCGTGAAGCTTTAATAAGTTGCTCGGCGCCTTCTTCCACGCTGCCTGCCGCGTGATCGATACGATTTTCAATTGTGTCTGGAAAAAAAGTATGTACACGCTATGATATTACAATTTTTTAACTAACCAATTGTTTCTCCTTGCTCGTGCACTAACGAACCCAGTTCTCTCATAATCTGATTGATATCTAAAACGTCAGCTTCGATTTGTTTAATTCTCGCCTCTCGTTCCAGCATCATGCCCTGTTCAAACGCCATTTCTCTCGCCAGCGCTTGTTGCTGTTGCTGGTTATAATCATCTTCTTGAGCTACTTCACTTTCTATACTAGGTGGTATCAACAAATGAGCTTTTTGTTTGCTGGCAAGTTCCTACAATACGAATTTACAAATTGTAAATATAAAAATAATATTACTGTATTACTGACCTTCTGTAGGGTATGATATCTATTGATCGCATCCTTGAAGTTTTCTTCAAGTTTTTCCACTTGTAATTGTTTTTGTTTTTCCCCTTTTGCTACTATCGACTTCAACCTGTGGATGTCTTTGCTTGTAGCCGAGGCAATTTGATTCGTGCTTAACTGGGTGACGTGGCTTCAAATATGATAATATTTAGGTATCAGTTTAACAAACAAAAGCAAAACTTACATCTTATTCCGCAATCCTTGGTTATCTTTTTGTGTCCCGATGTTCTTGAGAGCATTGTCCAATGTTTTAAGGCTCGAGTTTACAGTGTAAATATTAGTGACGACGTTATCACAATAGCTGTTAAATTCTGAGGTTTGTTCTCCACTAAAACCAACTGTGGGGGATGATATTGAGCCATAGTTTTGTGGGCGATTCATTTTTTAAGAAATATATAGGTACCTACAGATTGTCTAAGATCAAATCTATAAATAAAAAACACTACACCAATTTTTTATAATATTTAGTTCAGCAAATTCTTCAATATTGAAACTGCATTGGGTTTATTGTGATCAGGTGTTTATATACGAAAAGTAAAAGTGTAATGTCAAAATTGGCATGAATCATTTTTTACCGCCGACATTAAATTTACGTTTTTTATGGTTTAATTAATAGCTACAATAGAAAAGTACTAACTTAACAGAAGAAGAAGAGATTGTCATGTTCATTAATTTGTTCAGCACTAGCGTTTACAGAAGGATTAAAGAGTTCACACGCACTACACTAATACAAATTACTAAACGACTGCTTTAAAAATTACTCTGTAAAATAACGTATTAATTATACTTCATTAATTGCGAATTGTAAATTTACATGTTAGTTTTCAGTAACTGACAATACAATTTATGTAAACTTGCTTCGTGATGACAAACAAACGAATGTTATCAGGGACAAATCAACAAACATCTCATATACAGAGCCCTCTATGAATGAAAACTTTAACAAGCTCGTTTATTTACTTTTTCAATATGGAAGATAGTTCTGAAGACGTTCGTGAATTGCTGAAGTTGAAAAAGAGCTATAAGAAAAAATTGTCCGTTACAAGATATCAAGAGCCTCGTAAAAACACGTTCAGAAGAATACGCAGAAAACGCAGTAAAGTCAGGTATCGCAAGTCATTAAAACAACTCAGATATAATCGAAAAACCGACGACCTGTGTTCCGCTGTGGAAGTATTTGATATAACCGACATGGAATGGGCTCCATCGTGTAGTTCATCGATTTTGCCAACAGAGGTCACTGAGTGGCAGAAACAGGAGCAAATAGCATATTGGAAATCTCGCGCCATTAGTTTAGAATTAGAAAATAAAATGTTACACCAACATCTAAGGAATGTTTACGCTAAAACTATAGAGCAGTACTTAGAAAATAATAAGTGTATCGAATTACATTCTGAAAAACCAGAGACTCGACAAGAAGAAAACCAGTGTTCCAAAAATACCATTAGGGAAAAGTCGGGTATATCAAAGACAAAAAGGCCGGTGAGTCCTAAAGAACCGAGTGGAAAACATAGATTGGAAGAAATGAAGGCGATTTATGGAGATAAAGCTCAGAAAATAATGGGTATGGAAACTGCCCTCCAGTTAAATTATGAAAAACATTTCAAACAGTTAAATCCTTCGCATTGGCCAAGCATCCCTCTTCGTTTAAAATTTGATTAAAAAATATGTTTTGTAAATTACTAGTGATTATTTTAATTCTGTATTCAATAAAATCTCACATTTTTTTTTGTAAAATATTGTTAATTTTTCCTTCATCATCCTTTGATTTAAAGTTAGATATTATTGTTTACAAATATTATTCAGTACTTAAATAATTTTTGAATCTTAATATCAGAAAATTCAAATGCTCAGTGCACAATGTTAGGGTTTTTAAAAAAGTTAAAAAGTAAACGCCAGACAATAATTCTCAGATAATTTACTCACAATCAGTAGGCAAATGATTCAACCCACTACCTAACATTTGCTATAATTATGTAATATAATACTGCACTTAGGTACAAAATAAATGAAGCGGCATGATTATAGATACTTTAATAAATCATTTTATTTACATATTTAGCGAGTTGTACACACATTATCATAATCTTGATGTACGACTTTGAAAACACATTTATTGAAAGATATATTAAACCTTGCAAGAATTTTAGACAAGATACTTATTAGGTACCTACCTACATTGTGTATTGTTATATCAAAGTCTACAAATGCAAATACAAATTATAAATTTATTAAGCTTTTACTTCAGAAGCTAAGAAAAAGGAATTACGTATCACAATGCATGGCTTATAAGAGAATTATTGATTTTGGTTATAGTACACACAGAGCATTGGTAGATGGCGCTGAGTGGAACACAGCCCCATTGATAAAATCTGACAGATATTTTGAATGCATCCGTTCTTTAATACTGTTATTCAATGGAACGTTATAAAATCTAGTTCCTATCTCGTTGCTTATATTTTTTTATTGGATATAAGTGTGGGAGAACGTAGCGAAATCGCAGCTAGACCGAAGAATTGAGCCGAGTTTTTTTCCCAGTAATGCATTCAACAGAACTGAGCCTTTATTTCTTTTTAATTAGGTACGCTGCTATTGCTTTTATAAGATAACTATAATCTCGAATGCCCGTACTCTAATGTGAAATAAATTATGTTAAAAATGCACACGAAGATGTCATTATCAGATGTAATTATATCTTCCTTCTTGCGTTTCCACCGGGGGAAAAAACTCGTAACTGTAGACGTATAATTTGACAATGAGGGAATATTACTGTTTTTTGGTTCACGTTAGAAAACGCGAATAAAGCTGATTCCCTCGCGTACCAACACACAGGAACCTGGTAATTACTTGAATCGAAACAACCGGCCTCGATAGTGCTTTGGAATTTGGTTTTTGTCTTTGACTGCGGTAAAATGACAGTGTTATAGATTCTCTATCTGTTGGGACAAGTAGAAGCTACCGATTTCTAAAAATGATACACTTATCCCAAGGTCAATCTGGTTTACTCCGTGTGGTGGTAGACATATCCTTCCAAACTTAGGGAAAACTTCGTACCTGTGCATCTTATACTTGAAAGTGGAAAACTTAATGCAGAAGACACGCGGTACATATTTGTACAAAGATAATAAAAATATCCATGCCTGATCTCTCTGAAGTCTGTTCGTTGGGTACTTATTCGTTTATTTTGGTGCTACCTACGTGAGATTCAGATAGTAAGTACACTTGCAACAAAGAAAATATCGTTCCCAAGGAAATTAGATTGGAGATAACAACATAAAATTTGCCCGTCACCGACAAAGATATCACTTAAGGACGTGTTCGGTTTAAATATGAGGAATCCAACCCACATGGCATATCTGCGGCCAGGCACTCGTCTAAAATGAGAAAATTGCCTTAGAGATTAGATAGAATTGTCGTTAAATTTGAATAATTAGGTTAACAGTATGCCTGCGAAACGTGCGAATGCAGTCTGGCCTTTTTCGGAATTGTCCAACCTGAGACAACTCCGCTTTGAATTAATAATATTAATTTAGAAGCAAATAAGTATACACTGACAGAAATTGTGGATATTTGTATACACTTTTTACATAATTGCGATGTTTTTTACATTAATTAAATAAAACTGTTTTTGAAATTGATTCGTTTACAATGAAACAAATCGTAATCTTGCACTTATTGTTTTAACAACACCAAAGTACAAGTAAAGGCAATACTTTTCTCTCCTCGCTCAATCCCCTTCTCCAGCGCTATTCCGATGGCCAGACGTTTGATTCCTCAGCCTCCAAGAAAGCGCTTTTGCAACAATGTGAGATACAAATTGCCCCCCTTGATTAATGCGATAAAATGTCCCTTGAGCACGATCAGGATATGGGAAGGAATTATGTTAATTCCATAGCCCGTAACTTTTAAATGCTGGCAACGAAATGCGCATAATTTATAACAAAAGCCATTAAGCGTGTTACGTAATTGACAGATCAATTTAATTATAAATACACGAGAACAGGGTGTACTGCCGCTTATCTGGATTTGTATCGGGCACAGTTAAACAATCTAATGGGAGAGAATACATTTTCTATTGACTTTATTGACTGAGATCTTGTGAAATGCATTCAGCTCGAATGCTTGACGCGTGTTGTTACGTTTTTATAAAAGTATGAAACGAGGAATATAGTTTAGTGTACCCCGAGATGTACGCTGAGAAAAATGAACGAATTATTTTCCAGATTCTGTAAATTTTTTATTTAATTTATTGAAAAAATACCTTTTTTTTATAAATTTAACATTTTAAATAGATACTTAATATTCTTTATTTTCTCTTATACAATAAAACAAATTTTTAACCGAAGAATTACCGATTCTTTCATGTGTACGATGTTCTAAATTACGAGTAAAACTTAAATAAGAAGTAGAAAAATTAACAAAATACACCAAATCTTATGTTCTAATGGGAGTATATAGATGAAGCTAGAATTATTTATTTACTTAATGGTTTTGAAAGGCAGGTGGTTAAACAAATAGCTTTTATGCCCTTGGCTGAAAATCCTAAATTGTTTTACCTGCGTTAAATGATCACTATATGCTCCGTTGAAGACATCTACGTGTTCTGTAGAGGTCTGTTATCACTAAAACATTGTTCTAAATGTAGAATAAGTTAAAAACTAATTGAACGTGAGTACAATATGTTTAGATGGTGATATAAAGCTGCACAGACACCCAGTATTTATTTCAAATGTACTTACGAAAAAAAAATGTAATCTTGATACCAAATCGAGGAGAAATCTCGCAGAAGAAGCTTCCGCATTCTTCATTTTTAATTCAGACATGTAGAGAAATAAATATTTATCTAAGGCGCGCATAAAGTGAAGGTATCAATTAAAAAATTGCGTCACGTTATTGATGTTTCATTTAATAGATGTATAATTGCCGGTGAGCATTCCTTTTTCTGCAAACATAGGTGAACTATGACGATAACTCATCTCTGTTAACGTTGTATCTCGAGAGAACTTTCTCTCAGATATCATATGTATAGTTTTTATAGGCGTTTCTAAACATTTTTTTTTATATTAGTAAATTTAAATAATACTGACTAGATTTTGAAAGTACCTACAATATCGGTTTACTTGTTTTGGATTTTTAGAAAGCTCCAAACAGAAATGATGCACCTTTAGTAAAATAATTCGTTTGTAAGTATGTACAATTTGTTTATCTGTGTGATATCTTCTCCTTGAACTTTAGCTAAAGCCAGACTTTATAAAAGAATTTAGATGGGTCGAATTAGTCTGTAGCTCCTAAAACTTTCAAATACTGGTTGGTTTTGATACAAAGATCTATCGTAGACTAACTTGTGTCACAAATCATAATAGCTTTCATAACAGATGAAATAATTGGAGTGCTTATTTTATTTGTTTTAATATAGAATTAAATTTTACGTACAGCCCCATTTTTTTCTGCTAAAAGTCATTCTATACGTTTAGGGAATCGGCTAGAGTGCCTTTACGGCAGGTGGTTACTTAGTCCCGCACTCAAACAAAGTCACCTTTAACTTCCCATCGAAATCCAGGCGGACCCACATGTGCAAACAGCGCGAAGAAAAACACGGCCGCCACAAAATTTACCTGATTTTGCGAGGAAAAGGTCCAGTCATCTCGCAAATTGCGGCACAAAATTGAGACCTATAATTTTCAAACTGTTGCCGCCAACCGCAAATCCAATGGGATTCGAAACAGTTTCCGCTCCGCGTTGCAATTGTTGTTTAATTAATGCAAAACAATTTTAGAACAGCAGCGTCATGGGGCGATTTGTGGGAGAGCCCTTTGTTCTCCGTGTAACTGGAATTCTTACAGTTCGGAGTTAAAAACTGCTCCATATAAGTATATCGGTCATATTTAATTAATAATGTTATTCGCGTCTGATGAAAAAGGGGACTGAAAAAAGCGTAGGTTAAGCGAAAACCGCATAATGGATCTTTGAAACAGTGTTTCGAAATCCTTGTGTATAGTACCTATTTTTTATGCGAATTCCGCTGGTTGTTTGTAATGTGGTTGAAATGTAATTAGTTTTAATACTAAAAAAATTTTATTGATAAAATACTGTACCGAATTTCCTTTATTTAGCACAATTTTTTTTATTCGCACATAAAACAACTGAAGCTCGTTAGCTTCTAATAGATAAGCCGATATTCTAATTACGTAAAAAAATAAAGACAAATTTTTATGTCCACCTTTTTCCTAGAATAAATCGATTTGAGGGAGAATGGAAGATCTTGTTCACATTATTTTTGTGTTTATTACAACTCAGCATCAATTTTCGCTTAATGTCTTTATATTATGCGATTTTTTTTGTTAAATTATTTGCTATTACCGGATATTAGTTAACAGACAGTTCAACTAACCATCAGTGTATTTGTTTGATGTAATTACTTGTAGCAGTGAATACTTGTAGTTGTGTTGCATAATAATATGCCTAAGACTTTATCAGTGGAAAATCAATTTATTCTCTTCCTTTAGAGAATTACCTCACATAATAGACAGATTGTACGTGATAGCTGTTCCGTGGAAAAATAGCATAGAACTCGATTCCTGAATACCTTACGAAGTATTCCTGTAATAAACAGTGTACTTAATGATTAATATACCTATACTTGTTAATTATAATCGTATGCCTGTTCTTATAAACTGAGTGTACCAATTTCCTTTGTTTTTATGTTAGTTCCAAT